TCAGTTCAACCAGGTCAGTTCAACCAGGTCAGTTCAACCAGGTCAGTTCAACCAGGTCAGTTCAACCAGGTCAGTTCAACCAGGTCAGTTCAACCAGGTCAAAGGTCAGGTTCCTGACCTAGCTTGGAAACACCTGACTGTTTATATAATTGAAAGATTACACCTGAATCTAGATGACTAATTACAAAAGGGGTTCAAAGGGAGATTAAGGGATCGCCAGGGATCGACAGGGGTTTACAACGGGATCAGGGCCAGGTCCGGGTCCAGATCCAGGTCTAGATCCAGGTTTATATGAGTAAATAAAGGGACGGGTCCGGGTCCGGGTCCGGATCCGGGAAGGACGGGGGACCAGATTCGGGAAGGGAGAAGAAGGATCGGGATCGAAAGGGGGGGGGGTCTTATTATTAGTAATACGAGAACAGCTGATTGAACGCTTTTGCGAACGCGAAACGATATAAAAAGATTCGAACGAATAAACGTATCGAGGAATCGAACCTTCGCATGGAGCAAAGTGAGTAACGGTTAAACTTCGGACGTATCCTAAAACTCGGGTTATTGTGACCCCCGAACAGGGGGTCCTCCAGTGTTCGTATCTAGAATTCTATGTACTTAATAATAATAGTAGAATGGTCCAAATTGAAAGAGCCCCGCTAGGTACCTGATAATAATATTCTAACGTTCTTTTAGTTGCATAAAACGCGAGACTTTCCAGGACTTTCACACTTTAGAAAGGAGGAGATAAATAAAAAAAAAATAATCGCAACAACTCGTTGTTTGCATAAACGATCCCATAACCCACAGCTCGGATTTCTCAACGTCTACTTCTCTCTCCCAAACTCATGCGCCTACTTCAGAGCAGATCGATTCTGTTCCCTACCATCTCGACCCGAAACTATGCAGCCGGCTCCACCAAGGGTCGGCTCGGCACCGCTCTGAGCTTAGATCATGTAGGTATATTAATGTGTCATTTCACATATCCGGATGCACCTCAAACTTACAAGGGCACGATATAGTTCCTACTACGCTCGCGCGTCCTATCCCTATATCGCAGCGTGATTCGTGGTACGGGACGAATCAGCGACCCGACGACTCGTGCTGAAACACGCAACTTCGCGCGCGCCGAGTTCGAGCGGCATCGCAATGTCACCGATGTAGGCCACATACGCTATCTATTATCGACCGGTAAGACGGAATGGGAGAGCATGGAGAGGTATATAGATGGGATGTAGAATATGTATATACCCTGTGGTCTGTCACTGCCTCGTGACGCTGGTCGAGCCGTAATCGCATAGAAACATGATAAGCGCCGTGGCTTTTGACATTCTACGTAGGTAGATCACGGTTGTGCCATTCTTTTTTCGTCGAGTAAATCGTATTGTGCATGTATATATTGATACCACAACCATCTTCCGTTGCTATCATATTTCTTTTATTTACCCACGCCCGACGCTATACTATCCCTGTCGTTGCTTGTGTCTTGGATTCGCGCTGCAGATGATATAGAGGTAGCCCCGATGTCGCTTGCCGGCCTTTCTTCTCACAACCTACAGCAACTCTAGGGTTAGCGGTTGTTTATAGAGGTTGGCATGTCTGTTATATATACTATATATGCTAGGTAGTGTGGACACATAGTATAATAGAATCGCCGCTACCATGCTGCTAGTATGCTGCTGACTCACCTTGCAATGTTCGCACCGTTTTTTTATTGAGCTATGGACCTTCATTCCCCTTGTCTGTTGGTGTGTGATGGCTTGCGCAGCTTTTGTCGCATTTGTTATCGCCGTCGGGAGTTTCGTAGTGGGATTCGGGGAGAGAATTGTCTGAGATATGCTGCGGATAGGCTGTTGGGTCTGCGTCCGCAACATTTGTCGAGTTGCTGGTGCCGTGCGGAGTAGCAATGCTCGAAAGGACGATATGAAGGAGGAGGTTGCCATATTTGCGAAAGATAGACTGATGTGCTTAAAGCGGTGATAGTTGTTCCACGATTATTATCGGAACATTGAACTTGGAAGTATTGTATTAATTATTACTTCGTACGATGGAAAATCCGGAGCTAGGGATGTGGGGACCATACTAGGAATAGTCGACGTTTATTGGTCATCGGTCATCGGTCATCGGTTCAAATTGACTTGGACTCTCTGTGTACGAGGTACCTAACCACCTACATAAATCACCTCAGTCATTAAAGCACCAAAAGGAAAAGCATCCTTGATCTCTATTATTTACTCTATTCAATTTATTCGTTTTGCAGCACACATCACCACTCTCGGTTTTCTTTGGTATGATGTTTTCGATCATGGATAATAAAACTTGTATTAACTCTCGCGCTAACCCGCAAAACTCCCACGATTCTGTCATGATCCAGACTCGACTTGATAAAATCCTAACCGATTAGACTATGATACCCACTTAACTACAAACCCGTAGCTAGATACCTTCAACTACTAACTCCTTAGGAATGTCTTGAAAACGTGGCTTTGCGTGCAGTCCTCCCACGGATATCCGATCTCCTTGAATGACTTCTCCAGGTCCGGCACTTCCGCATCAGGGCATTGTATGCCCGCTAAGATCTTGCCTACGTCACTGCCTCCATTTCGGTACTGGAATAAGCTGATGTTGTACCTCAAGCGTAGTGTCCGCAAGAACTTTTCTAGGGCCCCGGGGCGTTCGGGGAAGGTGAACATGTACAATCTCTCATCCGGCACGTCTGACCGACCACCTACAAGGTAGCGGATGTGTGATTTGGCAAGCTCGTCGCCCGATAAATCTATACCGGTCATACCGTCGTTATTGATCCTACCAATCAGCGCCTGAAGCTCTTGTACTCTCTCCGAAGCCGCGCCTGTCAACGATATACCAATGAGGATATTGGCTATCTCGCTAGTTGCGTAGCGGTACGAGAATTCCGTCACGGCATGCGGCATAACATGATTAACCAACTCGGCAAACGCTCCGGGCCTCTCCGGGATGCTCACACAGAGTAGGGCCTCTTTGCCCTCACCGAGGGTAGCGCGCTCAGCTACGAAGCGCAATCTATCGAAGTTCATGTTCGCACCGCTCGTGATAGCTATGACCGATCGGTTCGAGTCGCTCGACGGGTTCGCCACAACCCACTTCTTCAGGCCAGCAAGAGCTAGGGCGCCCGCCGGTTCCACTATCGATCGGGTATCCTCGAATACGTCTTTAATAGCAGCGCACGTCTCGTCCGTATTTACTTCGATAACATCATCGATCACCTCTTGGCATATTCGGAAGGTCTCCTCTCCTACCGTCTTGACTGCTGCGCCGTCGGCAAATAGACCGACCTCTTTGAGTACCACTCGCTTTCCTTCCCGCAAAGACTGGACCATAGCATTGGCGTCCTCGGTTTCAACTCCGATTATCTTGACGTGAGGCGCAATACGCTTGACGTAGACTCCAATACCCGCGATAAGGCCGCCCCCTCCCACACAGCAGAATATGGCCTCAAGCTTTTGGATGTTGGTCTGTCGCAGCAACTCCATTCCTATGGTTCCCTGGCCAGCGATAACATAGGGGTCGTCGAAGGGTGGAATGTTAATGAGGCCATGTTGCTGTTCTAGTCTTGCGCATTCTTCCTTAGCCGCGTCGAAGTCCGCGCCGTGAAGCACCACACAACCACCTAATCTCGAAACGTTTTTATGCTTGATACTCGGCGTTCCCGAAGGCATGACGATAGTTGCGGGTATCTTGAGGATCCTGGCAGAGTATGCTACTCCCTGGGCATGGTTTCCAGCACTGCAAGCAACCACGCCCTTCCAGCTCTGGTTTCGGTCGAGATGGGCCATCTTATTGTAAGCACCGCGTAGCTTGAAGCTAAAGACGGGCTGCTCATCTTCTCTCTTGAGTAATACATTGCATTCTAGTCGGTTGGAGAGGTTTGTGGCGGGTGCGAGGGATGTCTCTTTACATGCTTCATAGACTCTTGAGGTGAGGATCAGACGGAGATACTTGAGGAAAGCGACTTGTTAGTCATTCGTATTTCTACAGAGCAGAGAAGAATGAGAGATGCGAGATGAGAGAAGAGAGCGGAAATAGTAAAGAAGGATATATCAAAATATGACAAACATCAGGGTGTCCGTTAGGTAGAATAAATTCCTCTGGTACGATCTGCTTGATTCTGTCTTGTCTGCGTTCCGATGGCGGCGATGGGTTTGCGCTGTACTCGGTGAGAGAGAGGCCTGATAAAGAAGGAGTACGCGGTGCGTGGCCGTTGATACCGTTACCGGCACCATTGGCCATTACAGTATCAATTGGGCCGGCTGTAGCTTCCGGCATGTCGAAATACAAACGATCGAATATTTGAATGTAATAGATAGACAGTCACAACTATTCACCTCGTCGTGGCTAGAGATATCCATTAACAATTGTGCTAAGCGTCACAAAATTATTTCAAACTTCTCACTTAGTGGGGCAGCCTGTCTTCGGAACTAGATGTTGGGATGCATGGATGCATGATGCGCCTACAGTGTAACTTGCAGGAGCTTTAGTGGGGTCATACAGGTAGGTACCCGCCTAAGCCTTCTTAATTTCAGCAGAGGATCGAGGGTCTGAGGGGTCATCTAACAGTGGAGACATCCATATCATCGACCAGGGATTAACCCTTTGTCGGTAGTCGGCAAAGCTTGCAAGTACAATCTAAGTGCCCCGGTATCCGTTGTAAACCATCTCTTATCACTTATCGAGTTCCAAGCTGCATTTGATGTTGCCAGGTACTTTGAATGTACAATACTGTACAGTACCTAGTACCGTAAAGATCCCTACGTAAATCCCATCCCTCCAGATAATTGTGCAGCTATGTAATAAATCATTTAGAGCACATTTCGTTAACTTCAACTTCAACTTCGACCACAACTTAAATGTTTCAATTTGCCCAATCACGCGTGAATTATTAACGCCCGCGAGACATCTAAACATCCTCCTGCGTTATCTCAATTGAGATTAAATTGTAAAGATCCCGGGACGAAGTTATCTTTAAGATCCCAACGTGGTCCATTTTCAGCATGACAGATAAATCTATGCCCTCGTCGTTCGACGAAAATAAGTACATTTTCTCCCCTCTCATTCTCCACATATCATTTTCGAATACGTCACCATTGGTACACAGATAACTTATAAGCCCGATTATCTAGAGATTACAATGAAACCGCGACCCAGAAGATCGGTCGTAAGATACGAGAGGAGCCTCTCATCCCACTTGGTAAATCGTACCCGCTCCCCTCCCTTTCACCAAATTCGGCATCTCTAGTGGATTACCCGGCCTACGATTTGTACATGGTCAAGATATTAGGTAACCTAACTAGTTTGAATAGGCACCCTGCTCACCACCCTTGCCGTCATCAATGCCTGGCGAGCCATGCGCCGTGGCGACCACGCCCAGGTGCAGCGCATGTTTCGAGCACGAGTGGGCGCCCAGGCCTTTACCGTCGTAGCAATAGTAGCTGGTGGCGCATACTATGGGGCGGATAGGGAGAAGCGTAAAGAGCTTATCAAGCTGGAGGCGCAGCAGCGTGCTGAGGAAAGGCACCAGAAGTGGTTGAAGGAGCTCGAGGTTAGAGATGAAGAAGATAAGCAGCTAAAAGCCGCCATGAAAAGGAGACAGGACCGTGTTCAGCAAAGACGTTCCGAAGAGAAGGAGAAAGGGAAGGGGAAGGGGAAGGAGAAGGGAGACTCATCGGAGGCCAAGACTTCCAGTGCTAATGCTGATGCAGATGGGCAGAATAAAAAGGAGACATCGAATGTTTTGGGTGCTTTGGCGGATGTTGGCGGTTGGTTTGGGACGAGGAAGAGTGAGAACGCAAACATAACTGAAGACAAAAAAGCTGAAAAGATGGCAGAAGCGGAAACAACCAATAACTAATATACCATACTAATGGTTTATCAAGTTTATAGTCAGTTTCGCTTCCCTAAAAGTCACGATGTATTAGGATGGTGTTGGGAAGGTGGCCAGGGGAGATTTGGGATGGCAAGGGACAAAAAACTCTGCTCTGCTGGTAGGTTGTGTATAAGAACCCATGCTTCATGCCATTGTATATACCAAACAATAATCAAGTTAACTCGTTTAAATTTGTGTTCGCTGCTCGTATGGTAGACTTGGCCTCAAAAAGCCATACAGCCGTATGACCAATGCCCATGACTTCTGATACTGTTTTGGCCTTGTTGTAAATCAAGCCATCGACCCCCCACTCCTATTTGCGCCGACCAGCCCTGCCATTTCAAGTAACGCCCGATCTGCAGCGATGTCACCCGTGCCTAGATTGACTCTTCTCCTGGCTTCGGCCTCCCGAGCCTCCCATTCCCACCTCTCTCTTTGTACCCTTGCCTCCTCGTCGCCACCACAACCCCATACTTCAATTTCGTCGACTTGGAAACGTTCCTGGAAATTGTATTTCCGAGATGCACTAGTTACGAATGCACCGCCACGGGATGCATAATCGTGAGTGAAAACTCCATATTCAAAACTCGAATCAACAACAAGTGACACAGGCCCCAGATGTCGGAGCGGTTGGTTGCGCGACGACTGGCTCACCTTCGGATGCGGGCAGCCGAAGTTGATTCCCGGGTTGGCGGCTGGCGGTTTCGCAAAAGCTACATAATCGCGGTTTATAGACGAAGCCGGGAAAACATCGTGAATTGGGGCAAGTTGAAATAATAACATATTCTCGCCTCCGAAGCATTCCCTATGGGTATGTCGCCATGGTTGTCTAACGAGCGCCCCGAATACTAAGCGGTCACGATCGGGAGAACTTCCATTCGGAAACCGTTTTGGAGGTAGAGAGCCATTGAAGTTCCCTTCTGACCCACCGCTACTTGGAGAATCCGAAAGCCTAGTCCCCGATACCAGCAGGATAGTCGGCGCACGCCAGTTGAAGACCTTTGTTTCAAAGCTACCCATGGAGAACCCGGCTTCCGAGCCCGAGTATAACAAACGCAAACGTCGAAATAGCTCGTTGCCACTAATGAAGAATGACAGCTGAGACAAAATACTTAGAGTGAGGATCTGACCTTCCTCCTGAAGCAGGGGAGGCTGCACAACCGCGGGAGATATGGCCTTAGACAGGCCATCTTTTCTTTTAGAAAAGTCGAGGTCCTTGGCAAAAAGGAAGTGCTCGAAGAGAGGATTAAAGCCATCAAAGAGAAAGGGGAAATTAAATGGGAGAGCATTCTTGAACCGGGGATATGTAATGCCAGGCGATTTCTCCACATTAATGAAGGCTGACAAGATATTCTCGGCTGTTGCCCTCAGGTCCTCGAGTTCCGTGCCGATGACCCGATGCGCGTAGCTAGATAGGTTCTCTTGCGCATCTAACGGAGATACTAGAAGCAGTAGCATGATCAGCTTTCTGAAATTGTCTGCAGGGATCATGGCCCCATGCGTAGTAGCGGCGTACGAATCGCCTGCCTTGAAAGCATCGTTGATATCTAATGAGTGCAATGCAGCAAAGACAAGCTCGTCGTCGTCCGCTGCGTCATCGTCCAGTTCGTCGCCGACCTCGTCAACGGCAAATCCAGGCACACAATTTCTAGGACTTTGTTCCGATACTGTGCTATTCCGCTGTTTCTCGATCTCGGATAGCTTTCGGTCGTACACAGCTAAGCTCTTGAAAAGCAATTTCCTCCTGCTACAATTGCCTCTCGCTAATATCTTGGTATACCGCTCGGTCATTATGGCCACAACCATAATCATCTGTTCGAAGCCTAGGATTACCGGGGCATCTTGGAGGAATGGGAAGGCAGCAATACACGACAGCATGTGAAACACGACGGGTGAGACAGCGAGGATGTCCGGAAGCTCGAGAAAGCGGGCAATAGTGTCCTCCTTAAGATACCGCACATTTTGTTCGTGGTCGGCGAGAGATCTAAAGTTGTGTTTGAAAGAATAAAGCTCGAGGGGCTCGAAACATTTGCGGGCGAACTTCTCTGCCTACGTAGCGGGCGGAATGTCAGCTCATCTTCAGCTTAGAAGTCAGAGGATGTTCAAAGGCTAGCATTAATTACCAGATCTGCTGTGATTTCTTCCTTGGAAGGAGGCTTAGCCTCATCTGACAGAGACTGCCCCATGTTTTGCTCGGGAAGAATATGAAGCCATTCCAATGGAAACGTTTATGGAACGGAGAAGGTTGAGAGGCATTGATGTTCTTCCAAGGTTTGGAATAAGAGTTCCTAACTCGCCTTATGTCATTTTAAAAACAACCGTGGTACTGCCTAGGTAGGTAAGTACCTACCTTCCAACGTTACAAACTTAAAGTCCGGGGCTAAGCTTCTACCGTAGACGTAGCAAGGTTGTGGAGGTGGGTACGCTGTAACCGTAACATCAATTTGTACCTACTAGGTAGTAGCAATTAAACGTACTAGGTACATGTATAGAAGACAACAATCAATGACTTTCTCTAATAATAACTTATTATTGTCTATTTTAAGTCGACGTTTTCTATATGCCATTGTCTCGTCGTAGGCTAGTTCTTTATAGCGTTCTTCTAAATAAAGGCAATTTCTCTCTAGTGATACTCTTCAATCGCATCTTGGAACTTGACGTTGTGATTCCAACACTAACACGAGGTAAGCCCTCAGATTGAAGCGGCCTTTGTCATTTCATAAATATATATATACCCGCTCTTTGCTTTGCCAATATCGGTTTCTCTAAGAAACAACCGTAATCATAATGCATGCTTCCTATAACATTATACTTGGGCTTATTGCTCTCAGCGCAGCAAAGCCTACCCCCTTGCTCGGTAACGATATCAATATGGACATTCGATCAGAATCGGATCCTCAGTGGCCAGAGGTTATGAACCAAATCCAACAGGCATTTGTGCAGGCATGCCATAATACCTGCATGAAGCTGTTCCCAGATGAGGGAATATACCACGATAATTGTATGAACATATGCCGTAAGTAGTGGATTTTTATAGTATCTCTTCAGCTTCAAATCACTGCTAACTTGAAGGGCTGACTCGATAGATCATAACCATTCCAACTTGAACTCGACAAACACAGATGTGGGCATGTGATAATTGCGTGTGGTGCGAATGAGAAGAAGATGAAGAAGAGGAAAATAAATTAGAGAAAGATAAAGGAGAAATAAGAAATAATAAGAAGAACTGGGATCGATGAATTATACCACTTTAAGGCTAGTCATTAACTTTAAGCTGTGTGACGTTATCATTGGAAGATCATCTGGCCGGTTCTAGGCTCCAGGGCTAGGATGACCAGGGTGACCAGGGCGACCAGGATGACCCCCAATACCTAAAATATCTAGGTAGCATCAGGGGTACTTGAGGACTCCGCTTCGTCCACTCAACTCCACCTTCACATGCCCTGTTTCGATACATGAAGCAGACGACGTCTCAATTTATCATGAGTGAAAGCCCTGCATATGATAGCCATGGACCATGGACCTACATATGTGCGTAGTATGTATTATGGTGCAGCAGCATCCGTCTCAATGTACTACGCAGTATAAAGCGCCTCTGTTTTCTTAATTTTCTTTTTCCAACGTGTAATCGCTATAAGTACCTACCTATGTAGGTATATAATATATTCGCAATATTTACTCTGTATATTGGTTTCCACCTCGTATACCATCCTACAAGAGAATAACTAAGTACCTAGTAGTATAGAAACCTAATAGACCGTGTTGACTTAGCGTTGGCTCAACATTGGCCCAACATGTCCGTAACTGTTGCTCCTGTCAAGTGCGACGATAAAAGGGATGAACAGCAATACAAGTCGGCCTGGTTTCAATTTATCAAGGTACGGGCAATCACGGTTTCTTTCCTCTCGGGCGTTGAATAATTGTCTCGCTAATTTATACTATAAGTCTGTGGCAACTTTCAAAGGAGACCTTACTTCGTTAACTGCGCCGCCGTTCTTACTCGCACCTCAATCCATCGTCGAATATAGCACATACTGGGCTGAGCATCCGAGTCTCCTTGTATCGCCTGCGAGAGAACAATGCGCGCAGAAGCGAGCTTTGCGAGTCCTTCAGTGGTTTTTAAGCACCCTAAGAAACCAACACGCGAGCAAAGACGAAAATGGCAAGAGGAAGAAGATGAAGCCCCTAAATCCATTTTTAGGGGAGATCTTCTTAGGGAAGTGGTTGGACGACGCGGGGACCACGCACTTGGTGACCGAGCAAGTTTCCCATCACCCTCCGGCAACAGCGTTCAAGATATGGAACGATACTCATGGGGTCAAGGTAACAAAGCCTTCGTCAAGCTCCAGCCAAGCACCCATTATCGACATTACATTTAGCTAACTCCTAATCAGCTCGAGGGTTCTGTCGCCCCGAAAGCCTACTTCTCGTCCACTATAAATATAGAACGAAAGGGGTATAGCGTACTGCACATTGATAAGTACGACGAGGACTACTGGATTACGATGCCAAAGGTCCATGTCGAAGGCATCGTGACACTGCAAATTGCCCCTGAGCTCAATGGGGTGTCATACATCCGCGGTTCCTCAGGCTACACGTCACGCATCAACTACTCGAGTAAGGGCTGGATTAGGGGGAAAAGCAACACTTTCACGGCCACCATATACCGAGATAACGACGAGAAAAACCCCATATACGTCCTAGAAGGTCGATGGTGCGACCTATATACTATCAAGGATGGCGAGGGGAAGTTGGTGGACACAGTCAACCTCGCTTCGTTGCAGAGGACGCCACTCCAGGTTGCGCCAATTGAGTCACAACATCCCCTCGAGTCGAGAAGAGCGTGGAAGCATGTCGTCAACGCTATCCACGCGAATGATATCTTCGCTGTGGGGCACGAGAAGAGCAAAATCGAGAACGCGCAGCGCGTATTACGCAAACGAGAGAAAGACGCGGGCGAGACGTGGAGGAGACGATACTTCACACAGGCTAAGGAAGACCCCATAGCCGAGAAGCTGTCGATCAAGAATAAGACTACGACCGGGGAAGAGCGTGATAGAATGATCTGGAAGTTCGACGATGAAAAGTATAAAAGGATCTTAGACGATCAGCGGAATGGAATCAAGAGCCCTACCCATTCCCGTTTTGATTCGGGGGTCGGGTTCTTAGAGTTTGAGACATAGATCAAGATGCTGACGACTCTATAAGATAGACCAACGGACCTCCTATTAGGTGGTGTTCTAGTACCTCCAGGGCTATGTATGAGAAGAAATGAGATTCGGTGGCGCCGATTTAAGCCGGTTAAGAAAACGGGTAGAACAATGATAAATACGTCACATATTAATTTAATTTACTTGTAACGAGTTCAAATCGCAAATGTTTTGATTGTACAGACATAACATAGGTAGGATACTGTCGAGCTAGTATCGATGGAGCACCTTAGCAGCCCCCTAATATATACATAGGTATATATTACAAGAACCATCTAAACTCCTCTACCCTAGGGCCGTCTCTCAACTTCATAGTTGGCACGTCTTTCGCAGTGAGATTCACGCCCTGCTGGCGGTTTCGGCGTCGGTTATCCCACAACATGAAAAGACCTAAGCAGCCCGCAACGAGACATCCTGTGGCACCAAAACATGCTGTCGTGATAAGAGCGGGCGTATACTTCGGTGCATCTTTGGCTTGAAATATATAGCTAGGTATCAGTCCCATTAGGTTCGCTAAAGGAACACCAACCGAAGTCAACGTCAGACGTTCGCCCTCGTGTGCTATGTTGTTGTTATACCACTGCAACGAAAGGTATCAGCTTGCCGCTTAGAAATATTTACACAAGATCAAATAAATGCATTCTGTAATTAGTTTGTGATTTACAGGAAAGGCGACTTACGGTGCTAAGCAGAACTGACGGTGCAGAAGTTCCCCAACACATCATGAATGTTGCAAAATACGCGACGCGAATCTGAGCATGGACATCCTCGATTGCCGCGTATATAATAAACCCGATGAAGGTGAATGCAAAGCCGAGGCATACGAACGGGAACCGAATCCGCAGGCCGTCGGATGTGAACGCGAGAATCAATAGCATGACAGCGCCCTATAAGCGAATTAGAAAAAGAGGTCCTACTGGCGAGGCAATCTTGTAGATCGACTTACTGTGACGTTTGGGGCGACAGTGTACAGATTGATCGTGACCGTATTTTCGACAAGCCGTTGTACAATCTGTGGCAAGAACAACGATACCGCTTGTAATGGTACGCCGAGACATATCTCAATAATGAGAAAGCAGTAGGTCGTCGGCCGCTTAAACACGTTGAGGGAGTCCTTGAGAGAGAATTTCTCGTTGACGATAGAAGAACTGTCGATCTGTATGCGACGATATGCGAGCGCCTTCTCCTCTTCGTTTAGGAATCGAGCCTCGGCGGCGCTCCGAGGAAGGTAGAAGAAGGCAAATATTGAAAAGCACACCGTCACGCTACCTTCAACGATGAAGAGCCAGCGCCAAGGATGGTCTACTAGCGTGGACTTTATCTGGAATACGCCGAAAGCGAGAAGGCCGCTGAATGCGTTTGCTATGTTGGAGGCGGCGTAGAAGATGGCCAGGCGTCGTGCGAGCTCGCCGCGCCTGTAGAAGGTGGTCTGGTAATATATCACAAGGGGGAAGAAGGCCGATTCAGCCATTCCTAGGAACCACCGAAGAGCGAAGATGCCGCCAAAATTCACCGTCGCCGATGTAAGCAGAGTGAAGGAGCCGAAGCAGAACATCAGCAGAGGAAGAACGCGAGCCGGGTTGAACTTTTTGCCTAACATGGCAACAGGCGGCGCGAATAGGACATATGGGACGAAAAATATCCCGACGATCTGGTTATATTGGCCATCCTTAAAATGCAAGTCTACGATTGGATCGCAAAAGCGTAAATCGTCAGTTGAGCCTTACGACGGAGGAAAGATTTGTCGCTCACCTTTAGAGAGACCCGCGGTCTGAGCATTCCCTAAGTTCCCCTTATCGAGAGCATTGAACAAGTACTTGAAGATGAATTGTTAGTTTATTGATATATAAATGTAAATATGGTAAATATGGTATATGTGATATATGGTATATGGTATACAGTATATGATGTAGAACGAAATAAGAGGTCGTTCGCTTATATGCCCATTCGGCGACTTACCATTACAGCTAAGACCGGCAGTAAACGAAGATCGAATTTGCGACAGAGAGCCCTCTCGGCGGCACTGTCAATGACGTCGGCCGTCGCTTCGTCGGATAACGCCACATGGCCGCTCTCGATATCATTGCTATTTTCCTGGTTCGAAATAGGATCCTTCTTAATTTGGATCGAGTCGGAATCCATAAGACTACCAGTCTTAGCATCAGCCATGATGAAGTCGCCTTAAAGCTGCCTCGTGCGAAGTGAAACGAAGCGAAGCGAAGCGAATCGAGGCGAATCGAGGCGAACTGAATGATGTCTGGAATGTAGATATGGTTATCGTAGGCAGCGTGACGTCTAAGGCTGCGCTGTGTTGTATTTCAGTAAGCCATACCTACATACCAAGTACAAGTAAGTGGTTAAAGAAGGACGATAGGTTTTGGTTTTGGTTTTCTTCTTCAGTTCTTCTTTTTGTCTGGTCTTTTGTCTTTTGTCTTTTCTTCGCCGCATGGTACCTTAACCAATCAATCCTTCCCACCCATCTTTCCCTTTCCTCCCCAGCTTGTTATCAATTCTTCGGTAAATATAATGGGAGACAGATACGCAAGCTCCTACAGTAGATCCTGACCATGCTAGGGTTGGATGGCTGACCATCCTTGCAAGCCCGAAGAAGTTGTCGTATCTACAAGAGACTAAGACAACGCGATAACACTAATTGAGGATAAGCAGTATTTAGCGACTTTGAAAAAAGGGGCCAAAAGGGATAGCTTCGATGTTTATCTCAACTTACCTAACCTACCTACATAATAATATATTCAAATGTTACTTATCTATCTAGAGATCAAATCTTGAAATATGTAATTCGCAAACTAATATCCATGTACATATCTACTAGGTAGGTACCTAAGTATGTAGTACCTCCTTAGTTAAACTACCTAGTCGGATTAACCGAATAGAGCCTTACTCGCTTATCGCAAGTACCTACAGTACACAGTAACAACACTGGCACTACATGAAGGCGCGAACGATGCAAAAAACATTACATGTAGGTACATATGTACATGTGTTGGGGGTTAGACATTATTGGGGGTATTGGGGTATTAAGTTGGGGGTAAGTTGGGAGTTGGGGGGTCGGGGTCGGGGTCGGGGTCTCTTTGTATGTCGCTCATGTCCTATCTCGCATCCATGACCTATTAACGTCCACCAATGTGAGTACTTACATACAGTCTTACACATACATACCTAGGTACTTAGGTATTTGGGGTTACAACCCTCCAAGGTTCTAATAGCTTGTTGCTGCCGATACGGAGCGTAAAGCAAGGCTCTCGCAAAATTTCCCCCTCTCTCGTCGGATACGTACCCGATGTAGACGCCGTCGCCCTCGTGCTTGTAGCGATATCGAGTCTACTTCTATCAACCTTAGAACCCTGCTTAAACATCTTGTCATACTACACCCTCATCTACCTAGTTATCTCATCTAAAGACTATACCTAACCTCTTCGAATCAACAACCACACACACACACACACACATATATATATCCATACATACACAATGGCGGAAAAGACTGCCGTTCTGACGGAAAAAGCACCGAAGCCTTTAGCTGGCATTTATAGCCAAGCCATCAAAGCTAACGGCTTCGTGTTTGTTTCCGGCGCTGTTCCCATGGACGCCGAGACGATGAAAATTGTTGACGGTGATATTAAAGTGCATACTGTTAGTCGGAATCCCAGCATTGGATTATGAGCTAGGGTATACTAACCCGCTTCTTTCCCTCACAGCATCAATGCATCAAGAACCTTGCCGCCATCCTCGAGGCTTCGGGGTCCGATCTTAATAAAGTGGTGAAGGTCAACGTCTTCATTTCTAATATGGATGACTTCGCTGCTATGAACGAGGTATACAGCCAGTACTGGGGTGAAGTGAAGCCCTGTAGAACGTAAGCAACTAGACCTCGGACAGGATCCCTAACAGGCTTTTTCTCGCAATCATTACTGATATTCCGTAGTTGTGTCGCGGTGAAGACGTTGCCACTTAATGTCGATGTCGAAATCGAGTGTACTGCAACTTATTAAATTCCATATGTCTTCTACGACATAGGAACGCCTAGTTGATCGAACTCTTAGGATGTACTGCTACAAAAATGCGAAAACAACAGATACTTAGGTAGTAATACTTCTCGGTTTCATCATTCAGCTTCACTCAGCATCCAAGACGATCTAATTAAATGACACACACAAGTCTCGACGCCGCCTGCAAGCTGGGATATGTACTGTGTGTGTATGTACTCGGTTCTAGCGCGAATCACATTCACTGTCGACCACAACTACGAGAAATAGTGTCGTAAAGAATAGATGACTTTATAAAGGCTATATCTATTGGCCTATTCACGACTCTGTGACTCCCATATTGTCCGTTAGGTACCTAGTTTACCTACTTAATGGATAGTTAGGGAAGATGGCGTTCCGATGAGAATCAGGAGGGTTTATCCCTAACTACTAGATATGCTATTTCCCGTTCAGGCGTCCGCATATACGTCTCGACTACATGTATGCCCTAAAAAGAGCGCCGAGTTCATGACATCTACTTAGAGACCGTATCCAATGTAGGATACATTGTTTCCCGGAGTGCATCGCAGAAATGCGTGATAGCATCTCTTCCAGCATCTAGGACACCGTCCATCGCGATAAAGGGGTGAGGCTGACCCTTCATCAAATACACGTCAGCAGAAATGCCCGCATTCCGCAATTTGTCCCCGAACTGTCGACCTTCGTCCCTTAGCACATCCAGTTCGCCAACGACGATGATGGCCCGCGGCAGTTTCGACCAATCGCCTTCCCACAACAGTGGGCTCGCCTCAGGATGGGACCAATCCGACTGGTTAGGGAGGTAGTGATTTCGATACCACATCATCTTCGGTGCCGGAAGCGCTGGTGTGTGTTGGTTCTCCTTCCACGATACACTGTTCGTTGTGTCGGCTGTGTTATCCGTAACTGGGACCGAAAGCAATTGTAAAGAGAACTTAGGGCTTCCGAGCGCCGCGGCGCGCTGGCACATGATAGCGGCTAAGTTTCCGCCTGCCGAAGAGCCTCCAGTGGCTAGCTTTGTCGTATCCAGCTGTAGGACCTTTTTTCCTTCGCCTAAGACCCAGAGGACACTCTCCCAGCTATCATCAACCGCGGCGGGGAAGGGATCCTCAGGGGCCAATCTAAAATAATGGCGTCGTCAGCTCTTCTCCTCCTGCTTTCTCCCGTTACGGGACATAGTGTTCGACTAACCTATAGTCAACGGCGACCACGACACACCTACCACGAGCGCAGAGGTTTGTCGCAATTACGTTTTCGGTGTCAATAGTTCCCAGGACCCAGCCCCCTCCATGGAAATATACACAGACAGGCCACCCCTCTTCAGGCCTTTCCCCGTGAGGTGTGAAGGCGCGAACTCTTACCCTCGGACCAGACGTCTCCTCTCGCGAGATGAAGTAGTCTTCTGCCTTGGCAACCGTGGCTAGAGGGCCGGCACCAGGAATTAGAGTCCCACTTGCTCGTGATGCTTCTATTGGTTGAAGGTGTACTTGCTGGTTGTTGTATATATGTTTGTTGTAGAAAGTTGCATACTGAGGGTCAATGCGGTCGACTACCGAATGATGTAAAGGATAAGGAGGTTCGGGGTGATCCCCTGGAGCTAGTGTTTGCTCAACACTCATGGTGAAAGTTTAAAAAAAATGAAGATAAAATTAAAAGGGAGTATAAACTGTTGGGTGCCGTGTGTTGAGGAACCAGTCTGGAGTTTATGTGAAGACCATCAACGTACGATGCTTGATGAGCCGCCTACGAGTGGTATATACTCTAATATCCTAAAGAGAGGGAGAACGGCAGACTTGGTAGATAGTAATAACAAATACTTACATGCTACTAGTCCTTATATGCTATCCTACAGGACATTATGAGTTCCAGGGCCCCAGAAAGTTTTCCGAATTTAGATACACAATGACATCAAAGTTGCCCGATACCGCGACTAACTAAGTCAAGAACGGAACTACTGTACAGACTCGTGATACTGCTGTATCCATTCTTCTCGGGGAACCGAAAGGATCGCAATGTTGGGTAAATTTTAGGGCTTGTTCCCCAGTCAGTCTATTCGTAGCCCGAAAGTCAGGGTCCAACTTATAATGATAGTGGTCCACCTTAGTTGACGTATGTCCAACCGGGAGCTCATCCTGTCTATCCCCTGTGCATATTATGCGTGAGTGTAAGTTTGTCTAGGCTCTGTCCCCGACGCCCTGCAGTAACAAAAAAACCCCCAACTAAGGAGAGTCGGAATCGGGGATGAGGTATAGGTGGGGGTCAAGAGTTAACCCCTATCTTGAAAAGGAGGTCCACATAGATACCTAGTACCTATCTAGATACCTACTAGGTAGTAGTTTATAATCGTGGTTGTAGGAACAGGCCGGGCGAATAAAACCTCACGCTATGATAGCCGAGCATTAGGTTAAGACGGAGCGGTAACTGTACGGAGAAAAAACATCCGGTAGCGGCATGCTATTATAATATACACACCGAGTCGCACGCATCAAATCTAAATGCTCATACGCCTTGTAATCCAATATCAGTATAATGAACATCACTTACTTATTTACTTACTTACCGGCGCAGCCTTAAATACTTATATAATGATATATTTAAACTTAATAGTATTTCGTTAATAAGATTGGTTGTTTTTAAGGGACCTTGATGGGTATTTTAAACTTTCCAAGGTTATTTCCCCCTTTCCTTCCACATTCTTCTCCCTCTTTTATTTTAGCTTAGGTAATTAGTAGGCATTATGTTTTAACAGAAAAAAAAACTGAACGCCTGTCCTTTCCTCGTTTTCTTTTTTTTTAAAAAAAAACTCGTAGCCCTGGAAGTAAATTAAAATAGTAGGTAAGTAGTGTAAGTGATGCCAAATCAGTTGTAGGCATAGTACCTAGTAGGTACGTCACTTCGCTAACATTGCCGTAAAGCTAATGCAAGATTGTTTTTCGCGGGTTGTGCGGGGTAGTGTAACCCCGCAGCCTTGAGATGCTGTTGCTGGTCAACATTGAAAACGCCTGTAGTGCCTGACGCTTTCAGCTGACCTCTATCAATTTTCATTGTTTATTGATGTGCCTAATGGTGTGATGTACCTTATGATTTGAATGAGGTATGCAACTACCTAGTAGGTAATAAGGAACCCCCACACCACACTTTAACATAATAAATATCGGGTCACCTAGTACTAGAGTAATTTTGTCGTCGACAACAATTTAGCAACCCGAAGATTTAGCCACAACATAGCCACGACAAAGCTACGACACGCGATAAATACACACATCTACAATCAAACAACCACAAGTAAAATGGCGGATGACAATAGCAAGCCTGCAATTGACGAGACTCCTATCTCTCCAATCCGCCCTAATAACGAGCGGAGGAACTCGCTCGAACAACACCTAAAGCAACGCCCCGATCGGTCGGAACTTGTTGAGAGTATGAGATCTGCATTACATAAATATTGATCCTGCCCTAATTCCTAATTCCATTCTTTATAGAGAACATCTTGCCTGCTTCAACTGCTGCTCCTAGCCTACAGGAAAAGCAGAAAGAGGTGCGTCTTCTCCTTCTCCTCCTCCTCCTCTTTCTCCTTCTCATTCTTCCCATTTTACCTCTCCATGAAAGTATCATAGCAGAGGTAGATCGATAGTAGCCATTTATCTTATGAAGTATGTACTATAGCTCGAGAGACATATGCGTGCCGACTCGCTCAACGAGAAGATTTCTCACCGACCGCCTCCTGAGAAGCTCATCCAAGAGGGTATCCTCCACAAGGACGAGGACCCTCGATCAGCCGAGGAGAAGTATGAGGAAGCCATCGAGGAAGAATATGCCAAGAGGGAGGGCGGCGCCTGAGCGGATTGGCTGAATCAATCACATGGACGGGGCAATGTTTTGAATTATCATTTGACTATCTACCCAGGTATGTCATACATTGTCATACTTGCCATACTTATACGTGCCTATGCCTATTGAAGAGGGGGACGGATTATAAAATGTATAGGTACTGGGGGTAGGTACATGATATCCTACCCTGGGTACCTACTAGTATCAATGTGTCATAACTTGGAACCATTCTCTGTTGTTCTCTTCTGACCGAGGCGGGAATTCGACGACTTGTGGGTATACGCCCTCATAGAACATAAAACCACCAATGATGATGGCTTTTCGGGAATTTACTACTGTAATGTGCCCGAAAAGAGTAGCGCGTAAACGTGACTATTCCGCTTAGTTCTGCCCACTCGATACTACTCGATACTACTCGACGCTGCTTGATGCTACTCGATATCCCGGTATGTAAGTCTGGATCTCGGCTCCAATACCAAATTTCTCCACTACCCCAGCTGCCAAGGTATGGACGGCCTTGTTCCAATCCGCATTGCTGGATTGGTGTTACACTCGGTCCTGGAGTAACCGAGACACTATTTACTATGCGTAGTACCATCGCGGGAGCGGAATACCGATAGCCCTGCACTCCCTACCGGTGCTTATTTCATCCCGAACTTGTTTGTGCCCGGATCTTGGTAACAACGACGACATCCTATAGGTCCGCATATACACCATGGCCGGGCTGACCCAGGCGACAATTTATCCATCTACTACGCAAGATGCGGGTCTGAATCATAGTCTTGGCCTTGTTGAATGTTACGATCTCACACTTTATAAGTAAGTGTAAGGTATATCTCTCGGAGATATGTATTGCCTATCCTATGCGTCAGGCTTTCGGTGGGCATTTGCGACAGCCATATACCGCCCCTATTCGTTACTATGCCGTGCTTGAAACGATTTATGTTAGCTGGCACGCTCGCCTTTGCAGTTTCCTTGGGCACCGCCATTGATATCTCTGTGAGCTCAACAGGTGGCAATGCTACCAATGGCCATCAATATGGATTTTTGCACGAGGTACGTGCCTCGTATTATGGCTCTTATATCTCTTATATCGGTGATACACCCGTCTAACTCGCTCTAATAGGACATCAACAACTCAGGCGACGGTGGCCTTTACGCTGAGCTAATCCGTAACCGGGCCTTTCAAATTAGCGAAAGGTTTCCTGCCACATTGGATGCCTGGCATCCTGTGAATGATGCTAAGTTGTCACTTAAGAATCTTAGCACACCATTATCTGACGTTCTGGTTACCTCGATGAACGTTGCCACTGGCACGAAGCAGGGTGAAGTCGGCTTTCGGAATGATGGATACTGGGGTATGGACGTCAAGGCTGGCAAGAAGTATAGCGGTTCATTCTGGGTCAGCGGCGCTTACTCTGGCCAATTTACTGCTTCGTTGCAATCGAATATCACCGGGGAAACGTTTGGGACCGTGTCAATACCATCCCAGTCTAGCCGTGACCAGTGGATAGAGCATGATTTCGAAATAACACCTTTTAAAGATGCCCCGAATTCTAACAACACCTTCGTGCTCACTTTTGACGCTTCGGTAAGTAGGGTAATGGACCGACGAGATATACATATACACAAACTAATAGCTGTGCGTCGTAGGGGGTAGGGAATAGCTCTCTCGATTTCAATTTGATTAGTTTATTTCCTCCTACATACAACGGTCGAAAGAACGGAATGCGCAGTGATATTGCCGAGGCGTTGGAACAACTTCACCCTGTAAGCGATCCCAAGAGGGTGAGATTTCAGAACAAGTGCTAATATCAACGACCAAGACTCTTTTTCGTATTCCGGGAGGCAATAGTAAGTCTTCATCCCCATCCTCGTCTTCCTCGACCATTCCTTCTCATTCCAACATCTCGAATGCTTCAAATATGTTTGCTGGCGTGGTAATATCTACGAGTTACCTAGTTACTCACGAACGGTCTAGTGCTTGAAGGGTTGTCGAATAGGACGTGGTGGGATTGGAAAAACACGCTTGGTCCCTTGAAAAACCGGCCTGGCTTTTCCGGGGTGTGGGGATATCAGCAGACGAATGGTCTAGGTTTGGTAGAGTATCTAGAGTTCGCGGAAGATCTGGGAATGGAAGTTGGTGAGTTCTCGCCGCTGCGCCTTCAATCCTGTCTATGGCATCGGCGTCTTACCGGGTTATAGTCCTGGCCGTTTACGATGGTCTTGCTCTGAATGGAGATATCACCCCACAGTCCGAACTGCGGGCCTTCGTCGACGATGCACTGGATCAAATCGAGTTTATCTGCGGACCGACAGACTCAAAATGGGGTTCGGTCCGAGCTGAGCTAGGTCATCCAGAACCGTGGAATCTCCAATACGTTGAGATTGGAAACGAGGACTGGCTCGCCGGGGCACCACAAGGATGGGAAACGTTTCGAGAATACCGATTCCCAATGTTTCTCGACGCAATCAACAAGTCATACCCCGACATCCAGGTTATCTCATCTGGATCTTACTTTGACGGGTATAACATTCCCGAACCCGCAGGGGGTGACTATCATGTCTATGCTGAGCCGGACAAGCTCGTCTTTGAATTTTCAAAATTTGACAACCTAATGACGCCTCACCTTATCGGCGAGATGGCGGCGATTCACCCAAACGGCGGCACTGGGTGGAATGGCTCTCAGCAGCCATTTCCTTGGCAAGTCTCTTCTTCTCCATTCAACTTTCGTCACCTCATTCCTAGGATGCCCTCCCGAGGCTGATACGACTACCCGGTTGCGTGAAACAGGACACTCTAAGATATGTGACCAAGCTTCCACTGACCAAGAATTCTGTATAGGTGGATAGGCGCCATTGGTGAGGCAGTATCGCTCATTGGTTATGAACGTAATGCGGACAGAATCATCGGTGCATCATACGTATGTTCTCCAGCCTATTTAGAAGCACGTGAATCTAACAGAGCACTAATTTGTGATAGGCCCCGATCATCCGAAACAGTATGTCGATATCCTCAATTCCCATAAACCATACTAAACATATTTGATATAGTGAACCGTTGGCAATGGCCGATAACTATGATACAATTTACCGCTGATACGGTTACCAGGTCAACGTCTTGGTATGTCTGGGAGGTGAGTTACTTCCCACCACAAGCCCTTGCCAGAGATATTTAACGGGATGTATGCGTATTAATGTTATTTATAAATAGCTTTTGGCAGCGCACCCTTTGACTGAAACATTGCCAGCGACCTCGGACTTTGGCCCACTCTATTACGTGGCTGGTAAGAATGACAGGACGGGTGGGAGGATCTTTAAAGCAGCGGTTTATAATTCGACAGACGGTATTGATGTCCCTGTGAAATTATCGTTCGAAGGGGTAGCGCCAGGAACAGCGGGGGAGTTGACTATTCTTACGGGACCTACAGACCCATACGGCATCAACAGCCCCTATACCGGGGTGAATGTTGTGAAGACGAATAAGAAGACCGTTCAAGCTGATAAAAACGGCACATTCCAATTTGCCTTACCTAACTTAAGCGTCGCAGTCTTGGATACAAGCGCCCCCTTAGTAGATTAGGATCGCAATGAGGAATATATGGTCGATGGAGAGGGTCTTCATTCTAAGCATATGAACGTGAGCTGAGCGAACGCTGATTTGCCGCATTGCGGGTTTGCTTTCATAGGCCAATAGGGCCGCTCCGTTGTTTTTAAATATGAAGAATTGGTTGCCAAGCAGTAGTCCAACGAGGTTGAGCTATTATTAGTACTTGCTGTTAACTGTTGATTTTACCTATTGCTAACATGTGTAATGCAAGTGCAAATGCAATTATGATGTAGTGATACATACCTGGAATTGGTAGCCAATGTTGCCGCGCAGTGCCGTGCAGTTTCCTGCACTGCATGGCTGCCCAACCAACCTCAAACACGGTAGCCTGGTGCTTTAGAAGCGCGTTATGGTTGTATACCCTAAGCATAGAATATAATATGGCTACTCGATTTCTAATCGGTTGGAAAAATGCAACACCAGATAGCAGATAAACGACGGGTCTACCTCGCGTGCAGAGCCATCTTCGCCGGCGACAAAGCGCAGTTGCGACGACCAAAGAAAGTGCGCGAAGAGATCGTGAAGCGGCCATGGGCACTGGGGTCACTAACACACGACCTCGGCATAGAGAAGGTAGTCGAGATCCTTCGCGACCTGTTGGAAAGACGGGTGTTCGAGTCGGAACTCAAGGCCAAGGTCGAGTTTCCCGAACTATTCCACTCCTCGCTAGATCAGGAGGTGCAGCGTGAAGCATCCGAGATCGATGCGGCGAGGTCGGCAGCCGAGGCGCTTGAGGAGATTGCCAGCGCGGAACATGTCGACGGAGAGAGCGAAGATGAGTTTGGAGAGGATACTAAGAACGAGACTAGTGAGGTGCTCTGCATGGAAAGGGACAAGATACTGTTTGTTGCTAAGACAGGCTTCTTAGGCGTTGAACAGACAGCCCCGAAACACACGGTAGTTCTGCCTTCGCTGTATCCAACGTATATCCCGTACAAGACACAGCACCTTATCTTAAACGAAACCCAACGCATACTTGAAGAAAGCTGCTTTGAATTTGTACAGAAATGGCTACCAACAGTCCTCTCCGGAAAGGAATGGGACTGCGCCAGCTCGATGGAATTAACTGGGTGGACTAGGCTTCTAGCTAAGAAGGCGGATAAGATACCACAGGAGGCATTGAATTCTGGGGGGACGCCACTGGCAGAGGTGCTCTTCGCGACGAATAAACTAAGGCACAGCGCTGTCCATAGGCTCTCGACATCGGCTCGTGGAATTCAGGATTTGGTCAAGTCGGCAGTGACGCTCGCATTTACACTCGGCGATCATAAACGTGCGAGCCAATTAGAAGAGATGTGCTACGAGCTGGATAGTAAGATAAAGGCGATGGAACTAAATAAGAACGCATTGGAAAATTCCGCCATGGCTGGCATCGAGGATATTCAACGATTGCGGGCGGAGTTGGATCAGAAGGAGAAAGATACGATCATTGACATGGTAAAGAGCGATCAGGAGAATAAGAGGGTCATCGGAAATCTATTAGAGGATTCGGTGAGTAGGATTTTGGAGGGGAAGAGCGAGAGTGACGACGAGGTTAATAAGGCGGAGCAGATCAAGGAGGAAATGGTGGAAGCGATAGAACATTGAAGTTATTGCGTATGTACCTATCGTACTTCGTTTCGTACCGACTATACTAATGTAGGTACCGCCCCGACTTGATACTTAGGTACCTAGGTACAATTCAAGGTTTCGATTACGTAAAAGACCTACATAGTCTAAGTAGCCACGTGATTTCGCGACAATGTACCTACCTAAATCCTAGGTAATTAAGTGCCTACCGCATCGTAGTGACGCGTCACGATTCCTATCTAAACATCTATGCCTAGGTCCATGATAGGCATCCCCCACGTACGGCGCCATAGCTGTCCGAGCACGAAAGGAAAATATGAGAAAAGAATATATCTCGACTTTCGGTATTAGTAAGTAACAGCATCCGGGTACAGGTACTTAAATAAACAAGAATGACCGAGAGACTTGATGTGTCGGAAATCACCAAATCTGATGACCAGCGCAATCAATATCAACCCCAGCATCAACCCCAGCATCAAGATCAACAACAAGATCAACACGACACTCTCAAATACCATCTCTTAGGTCCGTCTCTCACCAAGGCCGGTCAAGACTCTGTCGACCAATCCAAGGTTTCCGATATTATTTACAATGCGTCCAAAGGGTCCAAGTATTTCAATCATGAAGAGGTCAAGGACAAGGTCTTGACGCAAAAAATCAGTCAAATTTTAGAAAAGAAGCGTCGCTTAGAGAAACTCGATCTAACCCGCGAGCTTCGAATGGCCGATCAATTCATAACACAACTCGAGGTCACCCGTGACTTAACCCAATATATTGTTCACGTCGACTGTGATGCCTTCTATGCCGCTGTCGAGCAGCTCGACCGACCCGAGCTCAAGGACGTCCCTTTCGCCGTTGGAGGCGGTGTGTTGACTACTTGCAATTACGTCGCACGCAAATTTGGCTGTCGAAGTGGCATGGCTGGCTTCGTCGCCAAAAAGCTCTGTCCTGATCTGCTCCTCCTTCCTCTCAACTTCGAGAAATATACCTCTAAAGCTCAGGAGGTTCGACAGGTTTTGGCAAAATACGACCCAAGATTCGAGAGTGCGAGCATAGATGAGGCATATCTCAACATTACCGAATACTGCGCCGAGAGCAATTTGACGCCCGGGGACGTTGTTCAGCAGATGCGGGATGAGATCCATGACAAAACTAGGATCACAGTATCTGCAGGTATTGCCGCGAATGCGAAGCTCGCTAAAATATGTTCCAACATGAACAAGCCTAATGGTCAATATATCCTACCCAGCGATCGTAACGCTGTAATGACTTTCATGCGAGATCTGCCGACTAGGAAGGTGAACGGAATCGGACGGGTCTTGGAGCGTGAGCTTCAGGAGATAGGTATCAAAACGTGCGGTGATATTTATCCACACCGTCAGCTCTTGGTATGTATGAAATATGTTTCGCATCGTGCCAGGATCCCGCCCGCTCGCCCGCCCGCCTACTTCTATACCGTTCAACTGTTATATGGAGACTAACGCGTGTCTAGTATGTCTAATCCCATCCCAAATTTACCCAGCTCGATCTTTCCTTTTACCTACCTATTAGGTACCTAAGAAGGGAATACCATATAGTGTAAAGGCATTGCCCATTTTTGCGATATTAACTTATCACAGGCGTCAGCTTTTTGGCGACAAAACAAACGAATTTCTGCTCATGTGCTATCTAGGCTTAGGCAGAACTGACGTGCAACCCGCGGAGGAATATGAGCGGAAGAGTGTCGGAACTGAGAGTACATTCCGAGACATGTGTAGCCCAGCACAGTTCAGAGAAAAACTACGGTGGACAGCCGACGAATTAGAGAAAGATATGCGGAGAGCCGAGTGTAAAGGCCGAACTCTTGTCTTAAAGGTGAAGCTGCATACATACGAGGTCTTAACAAGGCAAGTGGTGACGCCGAGAGCCATATGTACCGCAGACGATTTATACAACCATTCATTGCCCATCCTAGCGAGATTAGAACAAGACATCCCCGGTATGAAATTACGGTTAATGGGTCTCCGGTGCACACATCTCATCAGCACCAAAAAACCCGATGCTCGTGCTTTTTTTAGATTAAGGCCTTTAACAACATCCGCTAACAGTGTTGCGCCGGACGGAATCGGCGATCAAAAGATAAGCGAGATCGCTCAAGCAGACGATCTCCCGCATGACATGTTGGAGGACATCCCTCATGACAATAGCGCATCCGGTAGCAACGGAGTAGACGAACTCCAGGGGTCGCAAATGAACGATCCTCGTCGCTATGAGAAGGGCGTTGTTCCTATTCCTAAGAGACCGGCGCCAGCCGAGGAGCCAGCGGAATGGTGGGATTGCCCTGTCTGCAACCGGCCGCAACCAACCGACGAGCGTCTGTTTAACGATCATATTGACTTATGTCTTTCAAGGCAGACGATACGGGACACGGTCCAGCGAGACCATGTACGTAGTTCAACGTCTACAAGTGACACGCCAGTTCCCAAACGGTTGAAGAGCGGTGGTGAGAAGAAGCGGAGCCGGTCATCAGCCTCAATCGACCCGAGACAGACGAAACTATTCTTTGGTTGATTATTAATGCGTGGGTGCATTGCGAGAATGATTCTCTTAGAATGTATATAGATACAAGAGTGCGTTACTGTTGGGTTTCAGTACCTAATTTAGGCCTAACTCTGACATTTGACGTTTTGCAATCTATCTAGGAGGCTCGTACGACAATTATATGTTGCTATACATTGTCTTGGAGTGACACTATGTAGATCCGATCGCTACTCTCGACTGCCTAAATACCTAGTCATTCATAGATCCATAACGCTCTTCATGAATTCTGAAGGCGGGGATTTAGTATGGTCGGTTTGTTCGGGTGTCGTAGACAATACCCGATACTATACTCTAGATGATAGAATGGCATCTTGCTTCGGATGGAGGAACGATATTAGAGTCTCCCTTCGACAAGCGCCGTCCATTAAATCATATGATGCTCATATCGTCCACGCTCGGTCTTCTTGTCGACATCGACCTACGTATTTGGTGATCTTCCTCCTCAACTCTGTGCATGTCATCGCTAGGAAGCCGAACAGCGCGATCGAGTGCAACTGGTAAGCCCCGGTGCCGTCCTCTTATCATGACAGCACACAGGATTAGCTTGCTTCCCGGATAGAGTCCGCCGCTAAAACTGTATGCTGCTGTCGGCAGTCCAATGCTAATACCAACACACCCATATGCAGATACCACTTCAAACACGACGTTGAATACCGAAAAAGTGACTGGGTCCTCGATGAAATGCTTCGTCTCGATGATGACAATAAGTAGGACAGCCAAGACTAGCCACCATAAGTCATGCGAGAGCTGCCCACGGATTTGATGACTTATGAAACTAATCCGGCTCTCCTCTCGTTGATCTGGCGCCGCCCCAACCCCGTACCACTCAGCGAATGCGAGACGAATCACCCGGCTCAGAGACTGGGCTTTACTTCCTGGCTGGCCGTGAGAGATAGGACGGGCGAGGGCGTTACTATAATTAGGATCATCCCCATATATTCCTAGCGATCGTTCCTCATAAACATTTGAGTGCCGCATCGTAATAACTACCGGGTATACCGAGATATACCTACGAATGAAGTTAGTTCTACTTCATATCTGACCGGGGCTCTCCGAACAAATATTTTAAGCGCAAAGTAGATGGATACGGCCCCCGGAGGCGGGGTGTGCGTGTGTGTCTGTGTGCGTGTTAAATTTGGGAGAAAGGGGTATTAACGAACATCATGATAACGTAAAGCACCTGTAAGCCGATGAATAGTGTTGGGATGGATATTACATAAAACCCCCCCGAACGAACGGCTAGTGAATATGTCAGCACCAGTGGGTGTCATACGAGCTAGATATTATTATACCAATTGCTTGAAAGAGTCCATCGATGATACGAGAGCCGAGAGGAGTTTGCTCAAGAGTAGAGTTTCCAAGGTTAAGCACTTCAAATGCCACCCAATCGGTACCATTGAGCACAAAGAGCATAAAAACGAGCCAATACGTTTGTCGTGACGGGAATAGATTTGTATAGACGCGTCGAGGATATTTGAGAATATATTCAAGCGTCTCTTTCCAATCAACTAAATCTTCGGGGTAGGTCACTAGCTTCAGGGCTTTTACTGTAGCGCCTTGTTGTTAGTATTCGTGCACCTATGGCGGTAAGGTGTATCGACGGAGGAGGGGCCAGAATTCGGATATTATTTGATTGGTTTTAAACAATGTGAAGGGCTAAGAAGAGCGCCCCATCGTTCTCACGGACGTTGTAGTGGATGCACTAGAAAAAAGTATAGGCGGTTTCTCGAGGGGATGCAAGGGAGTGGGACTTACAACTGCACCACAGGATTAACCTTAAGAACACCGGATAGGCCGTATTTCCGGCGAGAATCATTGCTCCCATGACAATGAGCACAAAATACGAGCTTCCGTAGGGGATCATATTCAAATCCAATACGCTCATGCCACTATTGTTAAAAGCAGATACTCCATTGAAGATGCCATTCCACCAGGGCGAGATCCCATTATCCTCAGCGGGCTGAGGTAAATTATTTGCTATCCAGGCCCCGAGCGAGATGCAGCCAAAAAATTGCCAAGAAACGAAATATACAGGGACAACGACAGAGAGAAGTTTAAGCGCTCGGTACTCAGTACCACCGAGCTCTTCACGTTCCTCGCTTGTCAAGTCATGAAATTGACCGTTGCGCCCGACTTTATGCCCTCTTAGGTAACTATGGCGGTTGACAACCGTGTCGGTAGTCGAAAAATGTCTATGAGCAGTAGTGCCGCTGGGTGAGATGGATGATGATCTAGCCCTAGCGCCGAGATTGTCGACGAATGCCACATGTTCGGTATTGCCTGGTGCTGCCATGTTGTCTCCTTGGGGGTCTGTAGAATTTTCTACCGGGAGCAAGCTACGGCGGTGAAGGACAGAGCCATCGGTGTGAGGAAGAGACTGCGACTCGGGCGTTGCAAGATCACGTGCGCCAGTCTCCTGTTGCAGAGGGACAACGGGAGAAAGAAGTCTGCCATCACTTGGTTGAGATATAGCAGGATGGCCGATAGCCGGGCGTTGGTTCCAAAGAGAACTCGCGCCGCCGCTCTCTGGCACTGTCCTGCTACTCCTACCCAAAGTTCTAAGCCTATGGGTAATGGGGAGGAGGGTCAAGCTCGCATTTCGCCTCTCGAGGCGACGCTTCCGCTCCTTGCGCACGATCTCTTCAAAGCGCACTTCAAAGGCATGCTTCCTTACTAAGACAGTCCAGATCGAAACCCAGATGGAGCTCCCGATAATTATCAGAAGCCACTGCAATATCAAGAGTCAGTGCTCATGTTTTTAGGTGGGGATCGAGGGATCTCAAGCATGGCTCGTGAGCGCTATGTCCTTAACCCGCCAGGTGCCCCAACCAAGGTCCCGGCAACCGAAAAGAGTCATGGGAAGTGGATAGCAATGTTGATATTACATACAAGGAGGATTTGCTGCCAAGTAGTCATCTGACTAAGGTTCACGGTGTTCAAGCCAGCCTCTGTCATGGCAGAGGTGACCAAGAATAAGCTGTCAACATAAGTGATGCTGAATTTTGGGTCCGAAGAGCCCCAGAATATGAGCGAGGAGACCAGGGGGACGACGACGAAGTAGGCATAATGAATTGTGATAAAATTCAGCGGAGGTAGGATGGATCGGAGGGTGCGCATTGCCGAAGCCCTGTTGCCCTAAGATGTCCTAAAACAGGAGAAGGAAGAGGAGACAAAAGGACATATATAGAAAATGAAAATAATTGAATAGAACGAGCAGGCAAAAAGAGAAAGGGGGGAGGGGGGAAGGGAGGAAAGGGGAGAGGGGAGGTTTTTTTTAAAAAAAAATAATAATAATAAAGGCGGCTTCGTATGTTTATGGTGTAGTATGTTGTTGTCCTGGCAGGGCGGGAGCGGGAAAACGAAGCGAAAATTGAAGACGTTGAAGTCTTTAGTTGAGGAACATGATGAGAGAGAGAGAGAGAGACAATAGACAGTTATCTATATCATAACATAAATTTCTATACGTCGGTGGACATATAAACCTTCAATCTTAATTCTTACCTTCTTTCCTTCTCTATAACTTTTATAACTAAGTATGTACGAGGTGGATGTGTGGATATGTGGATGTACAGTGGTAAGTTTTCGTCAGCCACCCGAGACGAAAATTAACTTTTACGCATCTACCTGCTAGGTACATATATAGCAGCAAAGTACCTGCTTATGTAGGTAGGTAGTATTTCACCCGAGTGGTGATTAGATAGAGGGGGCTAGACCTACATGACCAATGGATATTTTTACGGACTTTTTATGTGTACAAGGTGGTATACTTTATGTCCTGGGTCCATACTACTTAGGTATGTACCTATTGATGTAGGGAATGACGCCTAGTGGATAGGTACTTTGTCAAATAACGGGAATAAGACCAATTATACCTACTAGTAATTACCTTATCAAATTGCGGTGTAGCGTACCTTCCAAATAACTATCCTATTACGATATAAGATCGATACATGCGGTAGATGCACGAATGCTAGCCTGGAGTATAATAGATAGTTAATGCAATAATTACTACAGCATTACCTATCTCCAATCTCCAATCTCCAGCCTCCAACCACGTGCCACGGTGGTAACCACATCCTAATGATACACCGCTTCATTCACTACTCCTGCAGAAAACTCGGCAATACTGGCTATGAGAAAATTATTGTGCATTTTCTTTGTTCGCGTGTTGGAACCATGACTCAATTTGGAAGCATGGGACCTCATCTCTACCTAGGTAGGTACTTGACGTATAGGTACGCAAGCACACGATTTCGAAGAATGGCCGTGTTCGTTTCGGAAGTACTATGTACTAGGTAGTCATGCTTTGCTGGCTTCCCGCCCATCTTGAGATTGCTTGATAGGATATCCCACATAGCAACGTAACTTATCAATAGTAGAAAGTGTTGTCCAAGTTTGTAGACTCATAGCTCATTGTGCTCCTGAGTATCATCAGTATCGGCGATCACGGTCTTAACCGCCTCGGCGACCTCCTCGATCTTACTCGCAACCCTTTCCACCACCTTGGACGAAGCCGTCTCAGAGGTTGAGCTAGAGGTTGAGCTCGCACTAGCACTTGCCTTGGTGACGATAGATTCGGGGTTAGGGACGCCTCTAATTCCCATGAGCTCGGTCTCGAACACTAGTTTGCTCATATTAGATGTCATACTCCTTCGTTCCAAAGCCCTTCGATTTGTTACGTACCAAGAGTAGATCCCGCTGGGATTGGTCCGACGGCCCTATTCCCGTATCCGAATTCGGGTGGAACGGTCAAGGTTCTGATGAGCTGTCAGCGTCTATCGGGTGTTTGATGGTGATACTTCATGTGCCGTCGTAGCCGACAATATCGGGGAGCGTGGAAGGGGATATCGTCTTGCCTTTTTTCGCCAATACACATGTCCAAAAGACCTTGGTCCCATCTATATGTGTGTTAGGATCTCGTCATGATGTAGCAAACTGCTGCTGCATAGGTTGTATTTTCGTCGACTAACCCCTTGATGACTTGGCCGCCGCCTAAATTAAAACTAAAGGGAGTGCCTCGGTCGTAGCTGGCGTCGAATTTGTTTCCATTAGAAGCGAGTGTACCCCTGTAGTGTACCTGAATCGTGTCGCCCTTCTGTGTCTTTCGATCGCATTCTACGGGCAGAGTCACGTCAATCTTGAGCTCGGAAGGATTCGATGCTAAGGCGCCGAAGGTGATAGATGCCACGAGGGACAGGGAGAAGAGAAAGCCTCGCATATTGTAGGCTTGAAATCGAATCTTATTAGAACTTAGAAAATGTTCACGATTGACTAGATCATTCTATTAGCATTCAACATTAAGACCGGGTTTCGAGCCGAACTCAACTTACCCCGTCTCTTGTCTATTGTCAACAATGTGAGGCGGAAGACAAAATCGAATCCTTCCTTCTTTTAAGACACTGGTAATAAACGAGAAGGGTAATCAATTAGATACCTACATATTCATGTATGCACTTAAGGAGGTGCTACTAACAGGTACATACATATATTAAGCCTCGGCCAATTTGAGGCGGGGTGCATTATTTTTGTGTGGAAACGTACTAGGTAAGTACATATGTAAGCATTGGTTTATTTCCAATCTTCACCGAAACACGAACAGGTGGACCAAGTCGATTGAGCTACATAGGCCGAGCCACTCTACTGCCTCACCAGGCAAACATCTAAGTCCTACATACGTACTAATCTGCCTATGTAAATACTAGGTCAGGATACCTATTATTAAGGTTAAAATAACCTTGAGTTGACTCATTCATATTAAGTACCTAATATATTTACCTATGTATGTACCTATGTAGGTAGGCAGGAATTTTCGAAGTTTTTTGGAACCTTGAACTATACTAGGTATAGTGTACATATTAATGAATAATGTCATTTAATGCTCAATACACGGTACACTATAAGTTATGTACAATACTTGGAGGTACAGCGTAATTAAGCATGTACGTGCATAAATGCGTCAATGACATGTGTATTACCTACATATGTAGGTATAGGTATAGGTAGGTAGGTAGCCTTATAATACCCTGAAGAGTGGGGGTTTTAATATTATTGATCAATCAATCAATTTTTAGATCTCTCACCTTCAGCTTTCAATATCCCGATATTTCTTCCAGCTTCTGGTTGCAAGCTTCCAGCTCTCCTAGGATACCCAGGTAGTCAGTCTATTATAGGCTGACAAACAGAATTCGGCCTCCAACCAACAATCAGCTTCCGACTTAACATAGCCGCTTACTTATGTTGGTAGTTCGGGTCCAAATAGTTACCTAATTCCCCAATTCCCTAATTCTCTAAAGTTATATCCATCCCATTTCCAGAACAAGGCAACTAGATGCCTTCTCAAAATATAAGATAAGCTGTGCACAGCAAGACCCTTCCAAGAGTTTAATTCAACCTAATCCAACCTCAAAAAGATCCCCCAAGTACCTAGCGTATGACTTCCTAGTCCGCCACAATCATCTCAGTTTGTCCATTACTTCCAGCAGCTTAAACAAACTTCTCAGCCGTACTCTTTGATTCTTTCCCCCATCCCATCTGGCGTCATTCCGTGTTGCTTCGTCCCATTCCGTCCTATTTTGTCCTATTTTGTCCCATCTCGTCGTCATATCCCCCTGTCAAGATTTATCCACATCCATGGATGTTTCAATCTTGCAGTCATCTGGCTAGTACTCTCCCCATTGCCATCTTCTGCTCGGCCAACCAAATCACTCAATTGTTTCCTCACCATCGACGCCCTCCTCTCTCCTTTCTTTCTGCCTTGAAGTTTAGCCATGTGAATGAGTCATCCTTTCGGTGTCTACACTTTCTCAGTGTTCATTTGCAGCCTGTGGTCGCCCCCATCCAGTCTGCCTATGGCACTGCTCGTTATTGCTGCCATGTGTTTGCCTCCTTGTTCTGACACTCGCTTTAGTTGCGAACTATTTTGAGGTAAAGTACCATGAAAACCTAGAATATATAAGTCAAGATGTTTCTTTCTATCTACCTCCCCATTTTCTCGACAACCAGACAACACTCGCAACTTCAAAGCTCTTCTTAAAGCCCAAGCTTGCTTCCTCGACATTCATATACACCTATTTCCATCTCAATACCCATTTCCTCCAACGCCAACGAATAGGATTGTCTCCATCGTCGCGGACAGTCTTCCAACAATGTCCTCTCGTAGCACCTCTTATGTCCCTACCAGCTCTTCTATGGCAGTGGCAGTGTCCCACGAGGATTACAGGTCTTCCAAGGCTAGTATGTATTCATTCTTAATAACAAGCTCTTACCTAGACGTCCATGTCGTTAACTAACTCGACAACAGGCGATTACAAGGTTGACATTCACCATCGGAACAATGGCAGGAGTGTTAGCATCTATAATCACCACAGCTCTGGTTATGACAATACTGCACCACACCCTGATTACAGAGCATCTACCGCAAGGACAGATTCCCGAAAACCACCTTCCCAGTCCTAAAAAAAGAAAATCAACGGCTTCGTCCGATTATTCACATGTTTAAGCTGCTTTAATAAACTATTTCAGGGTTTCAGGGTAATAAATAGAACGGCCATCAACGCCAAGGAAATTCATAGACATAGAGGGGGATACGTCATCATTTCAGCAGCGGATCATTGTAGTCTAGTGTATAGGTACTTATTAATCTTACGTCGTCTACGATATTCCGTATTGAGCCGGTGTCATGAGTTGGCCTATAACCGGTTTACCTCCTTGAGGCTGATCAGTATGTCTCTTAGTGGTTACCTTCTGCAAGGCATGGAAGGGAGCCGTCATGCAGGAACTTATATTGTTGTGCAATACCAGGTGGCCAGCTGTAACACCCATGGAGAACGTGATTGGCGTGATCAACCAATCTCCAAGAACCAGCTCTCAACAGGCCCCGGCTCCAGGAACCGAACTTGGGAGGGCAGGCTGGTTCGCCGCTATTACTTAATTGGTAACCACTGCGGCACCAATGCTTCTAATGTACCCCATACTGACAATCGTGTATGCGATCCTCTACTTCCATCAAAATGATAACCAACACAGCTGCAAAGTAGAAAACCGTGAATAATTAGACCGTAGTACATTAGACCCAGAAAAGCATATATCTTCTCGGCCTTTAGCAGCTAACACGATACGCTAGGCTTCAAGCTCGCAGCTTGCTGTAAATGTACCTTTAGCCCCTTTTCCCAACCCCTCACCCCCAACCCCCAACCCCCAAAGCCCGAACTTCGAAAAAGGAAGGCGTGGGCGTGGGGGGAGGGAAAAAAAGAAAAAAAGACAAAGAATCGCTAAGTAAGCTCAAGTTCCGCATTATATTCCATACCCGTCATGTTACTACGCTGACATGGCAAAGTTGTACGACCACGTCGTGTTCCCCTGACAATTTCCCTTCACGTCATATCATCAATGATATCACGCCAGGTGGGAATATTCACATACTATATAGATAGATAGTCTCAAGCCAACCCCCATTATTAACCCATTTTCTCTCGGAGTACCCAGGTATAAATAAATAGAGAACTATACCCCTTACCCCTTATCCTTTACGCTTCCTATAACATATATGCTTCTGCTATCCCCCTCTCTCCATATTTTAGCCGCGATGATAATCATCACGCTCTGCCTCGAAGTAGCGAGACATCTCTACGCCAGAGTTATGGTACCCGCACTTAACGTAGAAGGGCTCATTACGTAGACCACAATTGAGTATGTTCTTGTAGCAGCCTAGATTGATGGCCACGGAGTCTAAAGCTTGAATCATCTTCAGACCGAGTCCTTTCCCCTGGTGCTCCTTGGCTACCGAAATCTCTTCAACGTGGCCACACTTGCCGCGATTATGGATGCTGTTTTTTGTTTTTTTTTTGGTAAGAGAGGTGAACAATACTGGTAGTATAGATAAGTATGGGGGCGTACAACTTCTTTTCCACTACCAAGGCACCTGTTCCGACGATGCGATTCTCGTGCTCGATCACGGCGAAGTAATATGTACCCTTAGACTCCACCATCTCGTCGTAGCGCTCGATGAAGTCGGTCTCGCTAACATCCCCCACCCATGTAAGGACTCGCAAACAGTCAAAGAATCCTTTGCTATAATCCCGCCTCTCCAGTGGGCGCAGAGCAAAGCCATCTGGCAGAGAGCGGGTGACGTCCGGTGAGATGAGGGAAGCTGAGAAGAGAACTTCTGGGTCACCCATTGCAGGCAAGGTTCTTATCGCAACTCAAGGTATCCGGTGTCGGTGACACTTTGAAGCAAGAATGGTATAAATACCTTAAAAGTCTAAGCATCGAATGTATGGGCAGAACACTAGGAAATTCATGAATCCAGATATTAGGTATAGGTAGGTAGATATATAGATAGATCACGGGGTCGGGGTAAATGTAAATACATTGAACCGGGGTGCCGGGATACCTTAGGTACATATAGGTACAATGCCGAGACCGGGCTGACCGGGGTGGGTGGTGGCTGCTGGGGTGTATAATTCATCCGATAATTGCATCTATAAGCCCTCGAACCTCTTCAATTAGATATGTAGACATCCATCTCCCAACCCCGCCCCCTATTTTAATGTTCTCAAGACCGACCTAGTACTCACCCATCGAAGGCCTTCAACAACGCTGTTAGCGCAGCTGGGTTATCGTCCAGGTATCCCTGGTCCACTAACGTATCTATCGATTTTTTTGCATACTCGGTTCCTGTCTTTTTATCCCTTGCTTTCCAATATAGCCTCGCCATTATCTCGTACTGGCTGGCATAAAGCGGTGCGAGGTCTTCTGCGCGCATCAGTTCAAGTACTTCGTGTGTAAGCTTGACAGCCTTGGTTCCGTCCCAAGCTTCGACCGCTTTCATGACTTCTTGACGGATATCTCTAATCTTCGATCTACGATAATCGGACGCGGCAATTTCGGCTTTAGATGCTGTACAGAGCGAGCATGTGCAGTTAAACCCCCATTTTTGTAATCCTGTCTGTCTTTCTTCGCGCGTCTTTCCTAGAGGTACATCTATGATGTATTCCGAAAATCTCCTGTCAGCTGTATGGCTCATCATCGCGGAATGGGTATGTCGGCCATACATGTGATATTTATCTCCTCTCCCGGCTCGATATCTCTCAGGGCAACAATGCTGACGGCCAAGCTCGATGGCGTAAATCTTATGAATGCGCTACCAGTAGTCTTAGTTTCTTTCACGTCTCTGTTTTCTATCGCGTCCCGCTCCATACTTACTTTGGGTGGCACGCATGGTTGATCCTCTACCTTTACGTTAGTTATTCAGCAGCTCAAAAGGCAATCCCCTTCGCGGACCAGAAACACTCACAGAGACCTTGGGGTAGAGCGCCATGTGTGAATCACCGGCCAGGGTGTAGGAGAAGGCGTTGGTTCGGAGTACATCCTCTACGATGTCGGCCGAGAAGGAACTGCTACGAGCCAACTGGAGGACAAGGTCCGGGTCCGACAGCTGGTCAGCTGCTAAATGGAGGAGCCGATACCCCCGTATTCGCTTCACAGAAGTTGGGAAGTTCAGGTCCACGATCATCGAAGCCCAGTCTGCCATAATTGCTTCGGCGCGGTTGATGCGGCGTCTCGCAATTACCCCCTTCCCTTTCCCGGGGATGTCGATGACCTCGAACGCCGCGTCGGTGTCGCTGTCAGCAAAGGACTTTGTATGAGTATAGCCTGAGTCATTCAATATCTCGATACTGTCTGCGGCAGTTTCGGGTGTAGTAATCATGCTAATACCTCCATTCCCATGCCGGGAATTGGTAAAAACACAATACTTGGTCGCAGTCGGCCCCTCTGCATATATGCATTGCGGTAGGTGTGTCCAGGGCGACCAATCAATGGGTTGGCGAGCTGTATCGCCGTCAACCGGTTGCGGACATTCGAGCTGGTACTGGGATTGTAATGCAACTGGAATATCCAGGGGACATTGCCCGACAACTGCAGGAATTTGACCCCGAGACGCAGCACATAGGCTCCCGAATATGATTGGGCCTATGGCGCAAAGCTGTCTTATACACATGTTTCGCAAAAACATCGCGTAGGGGAGGGAATAACTAGGCGAAGTGATTCGTGAATCGTGAAGCCCGCGTGAACTCTTTCATCGACACCATAAGTTGATTATAACTATAGTAGATACAGAGCAGATCTTAGCTTCCACAGTTTCCAATTCTGATTTTCTGCCTCGGGCGGAGGTAAACAACGAGGCGCATATTGAGCTGGGCAGATCGACGTAGCGGCCAAAGGGGGTCCGATGGGGCCAAGGGCAGCCAAGTATCGAGGATGGACATATTCTCTCCTTCAAATTGTGTGATTGACGCAGAACATACGCTCATAGGCAATTGGCGTGTGTCTATCTCGATCGCACGCCCGCCGTTGCTCATATACATATTCTGAGAAAGTCCTAGTCCACGACAAATCTACGGCTCATTACCATAGCCAAAATCCGGCAAAGTAACAACTCTCCCACGCGTTTGGTGCCACACACCTCTAACTGAAACTTTACGGTAGTATACCCGTCTGGCTTATATCGCAACCTCACAGGTGATTGGCTGTTTGGGAACAAGAAGCCTTAGCTTTTCCGATCACCAAACGCCGGCTAAATAAAAAGGAACACGGTTATCTAAGTAATCAATACAATGTATCCGATCTATCCGTCTCGTCTTTGCAATAGCAAATATTTACTGTTAACTTATTAGACAAATTCTAGCAACAGTGGAGATCATTATGGCATGATAGGTGGCTCGGTTTTCACGAAGAGGGCATGGCATACTCTTACTTCCAGGGCTAGCAACCAACGCACCTACCAAGGACCCTTCATGGACTCCAACGGACCTCAACGGGTCGAGTCTGGTAATGCCGCTACTACGTCAACAGGCTTGCATGTGCATATGACTTACCTGCCCCTTTTCACCTTCTCGCATTGATGTGCTAGTCATGATTTTCGTACATGACACACAGGAGTGTATCTTTTTTTTTTCTAGAAGAACCAAAAAAAAACTAGCAAGTCCAGACCAACGAGAAGATAAAAGTCCCGGGTAACAATGTTGACAGCTAAACAACATTACCACTTCGTACAATAATAATAAGTAGGGGCGTCGACCCGGATTATGTAAGGAAACATCCTTTCAGTATTTATGTTTTTATGTTGGATGCAGAAACCGATCCTCTAGTTTAGGTATGTACCTTATTTCTATGTCTAGATTCCTTCGTCTTGGTTAGTATGTCTCTATGAGACAAGGCAATATGCCCTATTGGTCAAGCGATCCGACTAGAATTTGTGAATCTGATCATTTCGATATCCGAGTTCTCCTAATATCCCCGGCTTTCGCTTGCTACCCACAAGAGACTCCTCCATCGGCGGCGGCCCGCATACGAATATTTTGCAGGTTTCCGAATGGGGTGCTACCTCCTTTAGCAAATCTTTAGAAACGTAGCCTTTTCTGAATGGTGAGCCATCGACAGGTTGGCTAACTGTGTAGACCGTCTTGAAGCGGCCTGGGAAGCGAGCCTTATAATCCTCGAATTCTTCCCTTAATAGTAAGTCGGCATCTGTGTTGACTCCGAATACAAGTGTAATCTTGGTTTGATCATCTGGGTTTTGCAAAATGCCCCGGATAAGTTGGTAAGCAGGAGTGATACCGGCCCCTCCGGCGATGAGCATGATGTCGGAGTGCTTATTCGGCTGCCAGGTATACCCGGGTAAACGGGTTACAAACCGCAGGGAATCCCCAGGTTGCAAGGAGTGAATATGTGTGCTTTGCTTCCCATTCGGATATCGTTTTACCAGAAGCTCTATAGCACCAGGCTCGTCTGCCCGACAAGGTTAGAAGGAATTCGTCGATGATATGGTTACCCGAAATTTCACCCACCCAGAGCATTTATTGGTGTATAAGGTCGTAGGACAGGAAGCATGCTACCCCCTGGCCAAGAGAATGTCAAGAGAGCAGCTTTCTCAAGTGCGTTAGTGGTGACAGAAACCATACGATTGAATTGGGTATGCTTGTTACACTTAAGAGAGTACTTACAAGTCAAGGATAAGCCACTAACAGAATCTGGTTCAGGCAACTTGAAACGTAACCGTTTCGTGTTATGGTTTACGGTCTCGGTGCTTTCAAGTTTAAGCGATAAGAAAGCCGGGCCGCTGCCGAAAACATGCTTCGGCGCGCCAGAGTCCGCGTGAACAACACTTCTCATATACGTGTAGTAAAGACCGGCACCGGTGCCGGCAATGGCAACGCAGGTTATGCCCCGCGACAGGCGGGTAGACCGTAGTGCATAATTCATATTTTATAGAATGTGGCGCAAGGAAAGGTTGTCCTCGCAACTATCCATGTAGTGTTATGATGCGTCTGGCAATTGAGCAAGAGAATATTAATAGGGGGGGGATGATGTTCAAAGATGAAGGACTTTTAAGAATATCAATTGTACGATAAACTTCCAATGACAATGATAAATGAATTACTACGAAGAGTATGAAGAATATGAAGAATATGAAGAAATATGAAAAATGGAAACGGACTTCCCCTACGCCGTTACACAAGGGGCTCAGCAGAATATTTACCTAATTATTAGGTATTCGATAATTTCTCTAATAAGAAGCTTATTTATGTAATCAGTCGATATTCCACTGCTCGATCTTTCCAAAGCAGATATTCAAAGCTTGAAGCTTGCTACCTATTGTATTTATAGCGATTGCTCTCTGTATAACATTGATTGTCGGTGTTCGGAGCGTCAAAGGATGACGGGACTGTGGGATTGCCGGGATGGACGGCGAGCACCCAAGTCCGAGTCCGATGTGTGTCCTAGTACCAGTAAAATATACCAGGTACAAGATACAATATACAAGATACGGATGTAGGTATTCATGTGTGTGTTACCAACGACCCACAATGTTCCCTTTTATTTTCATCTATCGGCGTTCAATACTTTTTTTCTCGGACCCGAAAGATGAAATTGGATTCAATTACATGTATGTATATACCTCATCCCATATGACATCATGCCATCGTACCATCATACCGCCATACCATCCTTTCTTCTAATTACCCGAGCGCTCTCTAGGTAATCTTACTGTCGCCCCGCACCCGTCCACCCTGGACTGCTCGGGCTAGGAATGACTTTTAAGAGGCAACTAATACAACGGGTTCACCATTATTAACGGTCACGCAAACGTTTCCGCTTGCATCCGAAGTGACAGTTCCAGAGCCGAAGGTATTGTTCCAAGATCGATTGGCAACCCGAGCATTGAAGCAGTAGTTTCCACTCGATCCGAGTCCGCTGTTAGTCGTGAGAACGACAAGTTTGCCTCCTTCTCGACTCCAAGCATACGCGGTACTGGCCACGTACAGGTGGACTTGATCGTTACCAGCAAGACCACCAGCCGATTTCTTCGCGGCCGATAATTTACTGATCGCCTTGTAAAGTTCCGAGCCGGTGTTAAAGCCGGTCCTCCAAAGATCCTCGCGGTTGGCGGGGTCAGCACCGCCCGAGTAGGCCTGCTCGGTACCGTAGTACACGATGGGGATACCTCGCGCAAGGATGACATATGCGAGCGCGTTTTTGAGGAGCGAGATGTCGTTCTTCGTGTTTAGCCATCGGGCATTGTCGTGGTTGTCCAGGAAGGAGCCTAGCGCGGCAGGATCGGGGAACGACGAGCTGATCGTGTTATACATATCTACGATCGCCTGGCTCGATCCTTTCTGCTGATAGAAGGCATTCATCGGGTAATACATAGGGTAGTTCAGCAAACCCGACATGAGCTTAGCATAAGGCGCAACGTAGGCCGGGTTACCGTCGAAGACTTCGCCAATCGTGTAAACACCGGCAGCGGCAGAGAAGGCAGACCAGTAGTCTTTCTCAATATGCTTCACCGTGTCGATGCGAACGCCGTCGAAGCTATATTCTGTTACGAGCCACTTGATCCACGTCTGGTAAAGAGACCGGATGTCAGAGTTCTGCGTGTTAACGTCCGGGAGGTTGGCAATCCAGCAGTTTTCCACGCTGTTCTGGTTAGAATAATCGATCGTGCATTCGGAATGATAAGAGCTGCCTTGGTTAAGCGGCGATGGCTGGTGGCCCGAGATGGCTGAGGGACCCATGTGATTCGCAACGACGTCGACCATGACGTATATACCCTACCAAACTCGAGATTAGCTTACACCACGCTCGCGGCAACGATATTTATCCAGCATACCTTGGCATGGGCGGCATTAACTAAGGCCTTCAGATCGGCGGCCGTGCCGTGCTTAGAATTGATGCCGTATCTGTATTGTGGAATGGTCATTAGCTATCCGGTTATCCGCAACCATGCAAGGTATTTTCCGTTTCTATAGAGAACTTCAAGTCACTCACAGGTCCGTAGCCCAGTATCCGTGGTATCCGCCGTCGCTGTCTATCGCTCATATATCTGATTAACCATCTGATGAACTATTCCGGGGCTGGGGCTAGCGTAAAAGTAAACTTACTCGTCACAACAGGAGTGATCCAGATAGCATCAAATCCCATACCCGCAATGTAGTCGAGCTTGGATTGGAGGCCTTGGAAAGTGCCGCCACAGTAATTGGAGAGGTTGCTACATGCTGAACCTCCCGTATCACTGCTGCTGCGGGCTATGCGGTCTGTCAAAGCAAAGTAGATGTTTCGCGTTTTCCAGTCATCTACAGTTGCCGAGAGGGCCAGAGTAGCCAGCTGAGCGAGGAGAGTGAGAGAAGACCGTGGGGTCTGCATGGTTGCCGCTGGTGCGCCTGACGCGTAACTGAGCACCTGAACAGTAAAGACGCGAATTGGGTAAGAGACCTGGTGAGTGAAGAAGAAGGAGAAGAGGGAAAAAAGACCCAGCCAGGATATACAGGTCTTCTTATGGATTCATCGTTACTGGTGACTATCACATGGAGCCGACAGTGACTGAACCTCGTCTCAATTCACCTCCGGCGATTTTCAACAACGGGCCGATTTTAGTGGACAGAGGCCGAGTCTTAAGAACGACCGACATAACAGAGCCGCCGATGAAGGCTCCACCATCAACTCCGCCACCCATGCCAGCGTTACATTTTCCCCTGTGAGAGCCTAGCCAGCTCCTCTTCCGACATGCGCGTAAAGCTTGGAGCCGAAATTGACGCATGGATGATTGCCACTCCGCATTATGCTAGTCACCTTAGTCACAAATATCGTTACAACGATTGCGGTTCATTTACCACTCCAAGGTCTAGGACGTGGGGACCCCACAGATCACGATACGACCGAGACGCATACATAAGGCCGGTAGTGTGGACTTTAAATACGTTTAATAAATCCGGTTTTTAGAAAGTTGCAACTATAGATATAACTATAGATATAACTATAGGTATACCTCATAAATGTAATTGGTACATGTCTTGCCATATAAATCCTCATATAGACTAATGTACACTCTCACTGACGTACAATGGCGGTTTCCTCCATCAAACAACCTCTTCTTTTAATCAATAATTAGTTCTAAGGTAAAACAGGCTGCGACTTGGCGAAAAAGACTTGTATGTATTAGAAAAGGTCCAATTGCTCAATTGAATGAACCATGATGCATGCTTTAGTGACAGTCCTTTGTTGAGTTGAACTTGGTGGGCGATTTGCTGCTAGCTTACATAGCCTAGGTCATTTGATCCGATGAGATTATCGGCCAAACTGGTATCATAAATAAAGTATTGCGGTGACGGGTGGTCCAAGCGCACAAGGTGACTTAATTATTTAACATTGAATTTTAATTCCTCTTAAAAATTAAGTTAATTACATAAGTAGCGATTAAGTAGTCAGCTGTGGTCCGTGCACGAGAAGGACTGTTTTAATGATTATTATTCATAACATAATATTCAGCTTTTTAATAAAAATAACAGCTTCTTCCACATTATCACCCATATTATCACCCATATTATCACCCTTCGTAAAATTTAAGTATTCATTAATATGAAATTTTGGTGACACTGTGACAGCTAACAGTCATTTTCAATAGTTTAGTTAAGGTAAAAAAAGTTATCTATTCTGCAATGAAGGTCGGTCAACGTACGTGATATCTGGAAGAAGATTTCTAATGTTGCTTGCGCCCTTTTACAGACGACATGGACCACTGTCAGCAATTTCTATGCAAGTGGCCAATCAGCTGGTTAATTTGCAATCCCATAACAAGATAACTGAGCAAGGGCTGCGGTAAGAGTCATCGAGGAATTATGATGAAGAGTAGGAACTCCGCGGCAACCACTAGGCTTCTACTATCTGGAGTTCAGCTCATCTAGTATTTAAACCATCAATTGGAACCATTTAACCATCGGATATTTCAACAAGTTAACAATACAACGCTCCCGCAGAGACCCATTCTGTCTTGCACCTACAAGCTTCACTGTTAACCCTCGGAGGAGACATCACTATTTTGTTTTTAAAAATGTCATCCGCCAAACACACCATCATCTCTCCCGCTATCCTTTACTGGGGCACACCCGTGGTTTTGGTTACGTCGGAGAACGAAGACGGGACAAGCAATATCGCACCTATATCCTCTGCATGGTGGCTTGGTCACTCGTGTTTGATGGGGATTGATGCCGAATCCAAGACCACCAGAAACATCATTCGTACGAACGAGTGTGTCCTCAACCTGCCGAGCGACTCCATGGGAGACTATGTCAATAAGCTAGCTGATACGACAGGGTCAAATCCGGTTTCAGATTCCAAGACCTCGAGGAATTACAAATTTGTCAAGGACAAGTGGACAAGAGCTGGGCTACACTCGCAGACTTCGGACTTTGTCACCCCACTACGAATCGCCGAGTGCCCAGTACAGATGGAGTGTCGGGTGGTTCAGATCAACGACCTCTGGAAAGACCTGCCGGGCCGTAGCGGGCTGGCGCTGGCAATTGAAGTTCGGGTGCTACGGATCCACATCTTACAGAACCTACAGATGCCAGGATATCCGAATAGAGTCGATCCAGACAAATGGCGGCCACTAATCATGGCATTTCAGGAATTCTATGGCCTCAAAGATGGAAAGGTGGCCCCAAGCGTGTTAAGTCGAATAAGTGAAGAAAAGTACCGGCCGCTAACTGGGAGCGATGTCACGGAATTGCTTGAGGATAAGTCATAGTGATGGGCTCCGCCCATCAGGATGCGTCTCCGGTTCTCTCCTTCTGTTCTCGTGGGTTGTGCCTTCGTTGTGAGAAGGCTTCGAGCCTTCTAGCTTTGGAGGATCAGGCATGTGATATCTAGCGTGTATATATATCCTATAGCTTAGAGAATATTCTCATCTTCTTTTCTTCTTAATTAATATCATCAATCTCTAGGCTCGATCTTCTCAATTAGTAGCTTTGTTCTTGTTGGTTGCTTTTGTAATAACATAATACCCCCCCACTGCTCGTATAAGAGGATTATTCGCCCCGGAACAGCAAGTTAGCCGTCCGGGTAACGAGATCCTTGAAAGATTAAACTCGGTAGCTTTAGTATTAATAGAAGAGCCCTTGGATAACGATGAACCGTTGTTAATGACTTTATTAAGTTATAAAAAACGAACATAAACTTGCGGGACGTAAATAAGGTTTTTACATGCCGGGTAAATATAAAAAGTTAAATAAAATAAAAGCTTACATTAATTTATATAAATAAATTTTCCGCGCGGAAGGCAATATATGGGGGTTTAAAAGAAAAGGAGGTTTAAGGAAAAAGAAAATCAGGTAAAAACAAAAGGTAATATCCGCCCGAAGGACTGGGAAAGTTTCCTTGTGATGAACAGCTTCTTCGAACTTGATCCAATCCTTAGATCAGTTTAAACGTAGGTTGAAAGGAAGGTTCAACAGTCAGTAGATCAGTTCGTAAATCAGTCCCTGATCTAGTCCCTGGACCAGTTCAAAAGGCCAGTACAACGATTAGTCAAATCAGTTCATAGATCAGTTTGTATATCGGTCCCTAATCCAGTCCCTGATCCAGGGACTGGATCAGTTTAAAAGTCAGTTGAATAGTCAGTAAATCAGTCCCTAATCCAGGAGCTAGATCAGTTCAATAGTCAGTTCAACGATTAGTCAGATCAGTCCCTAGATTAGTTCAATAGTCAGGAATTCAGTCCCTGGACCAGGGACTGAATCAGTAATTCCATCACTTCAACAGCTAATCAACCAGTCTGTAAATCGGTCCCTAGTTCAGTCCTTGTATCAGATATTCGATCAGTTGAATAATCAGTTAAATAGTTAATCAATCAGTCCCCGATCCAGTTCCAGGATCAGTTATTTAGTCAGTTCGAAAGTCAGTTCAAAAGTCGGTAAATCAGTCCCTGGATCAGTTGTTCGATCAGTTCAACAGTCAGTTCAGTTCAACAGTCAATCAAATAGTCAGTAAGTCAATCCTAAATTCAGTCCCTATATCAGTTTAAAGTTAGTAAATCGGTCCCTAGCCTAATCCCTAGATCAGTTCAACAATCAGTAAAGCAGTCCCAGTTCAACAGTCAATAGATCTATCTGTAAATTAGTCAGCAAATCAGTCCAAAAGTCAGTTCAGGGATTAGTCAGATCAGTCCCTGGATCAGTCGTTCGATCAGTTCAACGGCCAGTTCAACAGTCAGTCAAATAGTCAGTAAATCAGTCTCTAGATCAGTTGTTAAATCAGTTCAAACGTAAGATCAGTCCCTAGAAGAGTGCGATGTCAGTAAATCGGTCCCTGGTCCAGTCCCCAGATGCAATCAGTACACAGCTAATAAATCAGTCGCCGGATTAACTAAATAATCGATCGAATAATCGATTAAATCGTTAATTGAAAAATTAATTAAAAATTCGGTTTAAAAGTCGGTTTAAAAGTAAATAAATAAATAAATAAATTAATTTAATTAAAAAATTAATCGAATCGAAGTTTATATAATAAATTAAAAAAAATATATTTAATTAAAAACGTAAATAAATTTAAAATTTTATTAAAATTTAATAACACGTTAAAAAAAATTTAAATTAATCGAATATATTAAAATTTTTTATTAATTATTTATTAATTATTTACGTAATATTTCGTATTTTTCGCGTAATAATAAAAAAAGTTTTATAAATAATAAAAAAAATAATTTTTTTTATTTTATTTAAACAATATTGCTTGCGCTGTATGGCTCGCGCTAGTTGTTGCGCTGTACGGGCCCGGAAAAACGCCGGCAAAAGGTGTACATATTGTCTCATACAATTTGGGTGGGAGCTGAAGTACCCCAATTTAAGCTATTCCAGCCCTTATATCTTTTCGCTATATTAAATCTTTGATCAATTGTTTCTCAATCAAAACACGATCAAAAGTTTGATAATTATTATCATTTAATTGCCCTCGAAGGGCGCTTTCGAATGAACCAGGTTGCATCGAATTCAGGTCAGGTTTGAACCAGTAGAATGCGACTGAAGCTGGAGAGGACTAAGATTGACTCGAATTGCTCGAAGTAGGAGTCCCTTTTCAAACCTGAATCCTGTAATTGGATTTGAACTTGAAGATTGATAAAATGGATCGAAGATAATATAGATCGAGCCCTTTCGATTAAACCAGGTTGTAAAAGTTAAATCGTTGGTTGAAAGGGAGAAAAACAGGTTGAAGTTGATCGAGTACAAGGTGGGATTTCAGTACAAACTGTAGCTCGTTCGAATCAGCGCTAAGCCCTTTTTCAATACAGCGCGCGTACCACCAAAACCCATACAGCGCAAGCAGTATTACTCTTTTATTTTTAATTAATATTAATTTTATAATTTTATTTTAAATTATTATAACGGGAATGTTTAAATTACGAAAATAATTTTAAACTTTATAAAAATATTATATATATAAAATCGATAAAAATTAAAAATAATATTAATCGCGTAATATAAAAATTCGATTTTTCCCGCGTAATATTTCGTTAAAATCGAATATATTTTTTTTCGTATATAAATCGCCGTATAATTATTTATATTTAAAATAATTTAATTAATATAAAATAAAAATTTTATTTTATTTATATATTTTTAATTTCGATTTATTTTTTATAATTTATTAATTTAAAAAAAATATAAATTTAATATTAATCGAAAAAACTTTTAAAAAAAATTCGATTTAAATTAAATATATTTATTTTAAATATAAATTAAAAAAATATAAATAATTAAAATAAAAAATATATTTAAACGATAAAAATAATATTTTTTTAAAAATTAAAAATTATTAAATTTATTATTAAAATATACGTTTTAATTTAATTTATTATTTCGTTATTAATTCGAATCGAAAATTTTTTTTAATTAAATTTATATAAAAGTTTTTTAAAAATTTAATTAATTAATATTAATTATATAATTTTAATAATTTTATTAAATTAAATAATAAAACGAAAAATATTTAATATATTTAATATATAAAATTAAAACTTTTTAATTAAAAAATTATTAAATAATTAATATATAATTTTTATTTTAATTACGTATATATTAATTAATTTTTAATTTAAATAATTATATTTAATATTAATCGAATTTTTTTAAAATTTTTTCGATTAATTTTTAAATCGTATTTTTATTAATTTATTTTATTAAAAAAAACAAGTTAAAATTAAAAATATATAATTATAATAAAATATAATTAAAATTTCGAAAAATAATAATTAAATTATTAATAATATATATATTTATACGGCGATTTATACGCGGGGAAAAATATTTTTAATTTTAACGAAATATTAAACGGGAAAAATCGAATTTTCGTATTACGCGGTTAATATTATTTAAAATTAAAAAAAATTATTTTTAATTATAAAATGATTTTTTTTAATTTTTATTAATTTTATATATATAATTATTTTATAAAATATAAAATTATTTTATTATTTAAAATAGTTTTTTTTTTAATTTTTATTAATTTTATATATATAATATTTTTATAAAGTTTAAAATTATTTTTATAATTTAAAATAATTTAAAAATAAATTAATTTATAATTAAATTAATAATTTAATTTTAAAATTATTTAATAATTAAATTTATACGTACGTATTTAAATTAATTTAAAAATAAATAAATTTATTTATAATTAAATTAAAATAATTTAATTAAAAATAAATTTATACGTACGTATTTAAATTAATTTAAAAATAAATTATTTTATAAATAATTAAATTAATAAATTTATTTAAATATATATTAAATATATATTTATATATACGTTAATTTAAAAATAAATAAATTAATTTAAAAATTAATAAATTAATTAAAACATATATTAAAAATAAATATACTCGAATTTTAAAAAAATTATTATTTCGAAAAAAATAAAAAAAGTTTTTAATTAAATTTAATAAATTATTAAAATAAGAAATTTTTTTAATATAAATTTTATAATAAAAATATTAAAAAACCCTTTAATTGGGGGTTATAATAACCCGAGTTTTAAAAAACGTTCGAAATTTAATCGTTATTTATTTTAATTAATACGAAAATTCGATTTTTTAATATATTTATTCGTTTAAATCTTTTTATATTATTTTACGTTCGTAAAAACGTTTAATTAATTATTTTTATATTATTAATAATAACTTTTTTTTAATCTCGATTTTTTTTTTTTTTTTTTAAATTTAAACTTTTTCCCGTCCCGGCCCCGGACTTATCCCCCTTTTTTAACTTATCCCGGACTTATCCTTTTATTTATTTTTTTAAACTTAAACTTAAACTTAAACTTGGATTTAAATTAAGATTTAAATTTATATTTAATTTTAATTTTTTAATTTTTTTTATTAACCCCGTTATAAACCTTTATAAATTTTTAACGATTTTTTAATTTTTTATTAAACTTTTTTTATAATTAATCATTTACATTTAAATATAATATTTTAATTATATAAATAATTAAATATTTTTAAAGTAAATTAAAAACTTAACTTTTAATTTAATTAAATTAATTAAATTTTTATATAAATAAATCGATTAATTAAATAATTAATTAATAATTAATTATTTAAGTTTCTTTTTTTAAGTTAAATTAAATATTAAATTTAATAATTATTTTAATAAAACTTTATATAATGAATTTAATTTAAAAAAAAAGTCGCGGGTAAATTCGAATTCGTTATTAAAAAATAATTAATACGTTACGAAATTTTAACCACGTTATTAAATAACGTAATTAATAAATAAGTCCCATTTTTTCTTTATTTTTTAATTTCTTTATAACCGTTTAATTACTTTAATTATCTTTATTTTAAACTTTTTTTTTTAATTATATAAAATATTATTTTATCTTTTTTAAAGTTAAAAATTTAATTTTAAACTAATCGAATTAAATTAATT